TGGCTTCCTGTGAATAAACCATGCAGTTAGCAGCTTATTCTCTACTAATTATCACTTTTTTTAGCAAAATAATGTAGTTTTTGTCATTAAAATTAGCTATAATGATGAATTAAACCATGTCATAATTACTAAATGACTATTAATTAACTGCTAATTATGATGATGTCATCTTCCGGTTAAAAATTCTAGTAGGGCATTGCCCTCAATGCCTGCCCCTGCAGCCGCCTATGCCCCCAACTTTTATTGAAGGGGGGCTTAGCCCCTCCAACTTTAAGTGATATACATGTATTACTATTATCAACACTATAGACTTTAGTTTAGGTAATCCTTATATGTGTGCATATTGTGTGATGATTCATTTCATAAAACAATTAATACAGTCTAGCTTAACTTCTAAGAACACACACTAGTTTTTTTCAGAAATACACAAGCTTTTAATTTTTATTTAACAACTCTGTTAACATTAGCTTCAGCTGAGCGTAGATTTTCAACATTAAGGAGATTAAAAAACTATTTGCACTCCACAATGTCACAAGAGCGTCTTAATCATGTAGTTATTTTGCATACACATAAAGAATTTACAGACAATTTATACATTGAGGACATTGCAAAGGAATTTGTTACATTTAATGAGCATAGACGCCAATATTTTGGACAATATTAATTTCAGTACAATGATCAATTGTTAAATCATGCTCCTATGATTGCCAATAAATAATACATTAGCCCCCCCAACTTTTAGTTTGTTCCTACCCCTATGGGGCCCCAGGAGGTTGAATAAGTAGCCTGGGAGGTTGAATAAGTAGTTTGGAGGTGAATAAGTGGCCCGGGAGGTTAATAAGTTGTGCGGAAATTTACCTATTCACCTCCTGTTTACAAACTACTGCTAAGTAAACTATTTGTTTATTTTAGCACATGGTAAAAGTCAGTTATACAATGCTTTGTTTGAATCTTACCACCCTCAGTATGATAAATGCCATTTTAAACTCCCTCCTTGCTACTTTATTGCTCTTGTTAGCTAAACCCTATAGCAGTCATACTGTATAGGGGGTAATTTTCACAGGGATTTAATTTCACTAATTTCATGGTTTAAAAATTTGTGAAAATTTTAATCTATGAAAATTATTTTTTATTATACTAATAATGGTCAGTAGAAGAAAAACGCCAAAATTTTTTCTTGTAAATAGGTTTAAAGGTGATTTTCGTGAAATATTTTCTCCGGGAAATATACCAGTATCCCCTATACGGTATATCAATGGTTAGCTATAGTGACCAACTCTAGGTGATTACTTATTGTAGAGATTTATTTGATGTAGAGATAGAACTGTGCACTCTGTACTATAGTCCTACTAAGCCATCTTCACAAATTTTTGTTACTAGGACCAGAATTTACTATTACAATTCACACAATTCACTGGACCATTGAATAATGATAAAACTGTGCACTTAAACCAATCATTTCCTTTTCATTTTGATAAAAGTCTGGGACAATAAGTCAAGGTAAGCATAATTTTATTGACTTTTAGTATCATTATTAGACTACTCTGATGGCTCATAATAATACTTACATTGTGAGATTTTGCTTGTTAACTCTTGTGTATAGCTATAATGTAATCTTATAAATTTTACCAGATAATTAGCTTCTTGACTACTGTAATGTAATTGCTCCCATTACATAATTGAAGACTTAATTACACCCCATAAGCTCTCGCCCTGTTTTTCCCCTTGCTTCATCAACCTATTTCAATGTCTTTTATCCAATTACTCAGTTTATATACAATCCATTGCTTAAATATGTGTTTGTGCATACTAGCTTTGTTATTCTATTCTTCTAATAATTATATTATTTCTAGCGACCTGAAATCACGCCTAGGGATTGCCTAAGGTTCGCTAGGGACTGGCTTAACTGTTACGATAAGATTTCTCGCTAAACAGACGGTGTGTCCTACTAACCAAAGATATCGATAGTGTGACGTGCCCTCCCAACTATGAAAACATGGTGAGACTCTAGACAGATGGGCTGCACTGCCTGGAACACTTGTTTGAGTTCTCTTGGGAAAGATATTGCACTTTATTGGGTGTTGTTTTTATCATACTTGATCTTGATCTTGTGCATAATCATTATTATTTACATCTATTTTTTATGCAGGAGCACAAGAGCTTGTAATGTGTACTGAAGAAGAACTCAAGATAAAGATTTTCCTTAAACAAAACATTTAATATAATATTATGCATCATGAATATGTACAACTTGCATGAAGCCATTATGTGCAAATGTACATTATACTAATGGATCTCAAGTAGTTGTTCCGCCAGTAGGCCAACCCTCCATAATGAATGAATGCCATTTATTACAGCTATCTACACATTTACTTTATAGTATTGACCAATGAATGTGTTTTGGTAATCATGGTAACTTAATACAGCTTGTGTGCAAACAGCATGCATACTTGCATGCACATGCAAGTATTATGATGTCATTACTACAATGATATGCAGTGTTGCTAGTCTCAATAGTATTATGCATCATTTCCTGTTGCTTTGTGTTCTGACATGGCAGAAGTAAGTCCAAATGAGTCAGTGTTCATGTCTATATTTATTTTACCAATAGCCTGTTCCTGGAGTGTGTGTAGCGTGTAAAGAAGATACTATTGTTTACAATGTCGTCTTATTTGAGTGTATGGAGTCTCATCTTCTTTGTGACTCTTGTATGAACTCTAGTGAATTGAAAGGCTGTCCTATTCACAAGTTTTCGAAGAGAAGAACAAGTCCTAATAGCTAAATTTAAGTATACTAACTTTGTTCAGACTGTTTCTCAAATTTATTCAAAATATATTTCTAACATAATGTCTTATTTATTCCACACTACAACTTAATTGAAATAAAAATTGTGACAACTAAGAATCTAGATTGTATAATATGTCAAGACACTGCTTGCAAGTGCATTTTTGCAGAAAAAATAAAGCAAATTAAACATAATGCTATGCCATAAGTCTTTAACACAACACTCAAAATTTATTAATCAGCCAAATTCATAAACAATTATGATTTTATTGATTAATGAATTAAAAATAAATAATGCAGAATTAATACCACTATAGGCACTAGGCTATAATTAATATTAATATAAAGACCTTAATGTGGAAGTGCACAATTGAATTAATACCTTATTAATAATAAAATTTCATTATTTATGCAATAGTATGAAGTCCAAAAAATTGGGCATGTGTGCAGTCAGAAAGGAGGTGCATATATTGACATAACCAAACAATGAATATAGTCCTGATTTCAGTACGATAATGCATGCTAATAATCCTACTGGTATGCTATAAAAGCAAAGTAAAACGTAACTTTTAACAAACTAAGGACAAATTTCTTTAAGCCTTCATAATTTAGCAAGATGCCACAAAGTAAGAATGCTGTTTTATATAAAATATGAAAGTTGCAATATATATTTCAGATTGTACCAGGTGTAATAATGACAGAGATGTATACCAATTGGAGTACATAGATGGTGTGACTATAAGATTCTTTTGTGTGGTGTGCATTAGAGCTTATCCATCAGCACTAAACAGAGATCAATTAATGCCTAGATCAAAAGAAATAGTACGAAGGATACTAGCAAATTAATTATAAGTTACTTTTGCTATAATGCTACTAATTTACTACTTTGTTTTTTTGCTATAATTATAATAATTGAGTCAAAATTTTAAATACTAAGCTTAGAATAGCACTGGCAGAGCAGATCTAGATAGATGCAATTATCAAAATCCATCATGTGAACTATTGATATTCTAAAACAAAGCAATTTAGAGCTTTGAATTAAGATTCACAAAGTCATACTTTCTTTCTATAAAACATGTTTTTTGAAATACAACCGAATGGTCTAAATAATTATTTAAATTAATTAAAACAAATTGTGATAAAAATCAGAAAGGCTCGGACACAGAGTAAAAGATGATACTAAAATTAGCACCAAAAAGTCAGGCAAGCCAGTAAATTAAAAGCAAAAGAGAGCAAGAGAGAGGGAGAAAAAGAAAGGAAAAAGAGTACATGTAAGTAATAGGTTTAAAGAGTAAGAGAATCAAAAAATTATATAGTTAAGTAGGTGGTGACCATTCGATGTTGTTATGACAATTGAAGATGGTATAGGAGCCAGGCAATTGCAGCAGAGCTAAGTGAGAAGATAAATTGTGTTTAGAACTAATTTATATAGATTTTTGTCAATCAATAATTTTTTCAAATTTGTCTGGGTATTTCGTTCGACAAAAATTAAAGCAGATGTTATATTACTGGGTTCAAATACAACACAAATTACAAATACTATATACTGCATGAGCAAAAGATGTTTTAGCTTCGTATTTTACAAATACTGAATATACATTTCAATTTAATTCAAGTGAAAGTCTCTATTCATTACAGTGATGATATGCATGCATAATTAATATCAGAAGCCCATGTTAAAATTGTTTGGTTATTGAATTTGTAATTCATGAATATTATTTGTGTTTCAGAGGTTTTGTCCCATTGACATCAAGGCATTTACTGCATTTCGAAATACTTTTATGCTGTATTTCAATTGTATATTAATATAAATTCATGTTAATTTGTTTAGGCTAATTACTAAGTCTAATCCAAGCTTGCACCACAAAAAGAACTAGTCTCGCGCTATGATGATACTGCGCTTTTCACACCACTTGGATCACAATTGCGTGCTCCGTAAACTGCATAATGCATATGCAGTAGTATCGAGGGGAGGGGTTTACGGAGCACGCAGTGATTCCAAGTGGAGCATATACTATAATATAATAGTATCTATGAGTGGAGTCGATGATGCCATGGCCCGCGACACTAAATTGACTAAAAAATGACTTGACTCACGGCAATAAGTCTTGTTACGCCCCTGGTAAGAGTTAGAGTTTTCTGTAGACAAATAGCTAAGACAAATCATAGTGTAATATCGATCTTTTTGCTTAGGGTTCTTGAGGAGACTTTCGTAGAGTACCGGTAATTTTTTTATTAATTTTACTCCGCGTTTTGGGCCTTTTGGTCACACCCCACACTAGAATAATAAGGGTAATTCACTGAAATTATGATTCTTTACATCAATAATAACAATCATAATAATAAATTATGATACTTTACATCAATAATAACAATCATAATAATAAATTATGATACTTTACATCAATAATAACAATCATAACAACTATTCATTGCCATGTCGTCCAATGTATTTGAATACTCTGAATTCATAAATACAAAAAACATTATTAGAATAAACTGGTATCCCATATAGTCTTGCCATGCCCCCTGGCTTTTTATCTGGTGATGCATCTTCATCAGATTCTGATAATGAAACTGCAACAGCTTCAGGCGATTTAAATTTTTCTAATTCACCATTTGGCTTTACTGAATAAACAGTACAATTATTAGCCAATGTTGCATTGACATCATCTTTAAGCTCCTTAAAAATACTGTGAAAATTTAAAATATCAATATGATAGCAATAGTGGTAATTGTTTACTTTACCCTTTTGATGGTTGATATTGAATGAAATGGTTTGTTCTTGATTCAGTCCCAATCATCAAGGGTCGTATGGCCATTAAGATACTGCCCTTTCTGAAGCACTTGTGTGGTGCATAGAGCTTTTCAATAAGCAAGTTGGCTATTAAAACATAATAATGATTACTGATACTGAAATAATAATGATCAAAATTTTGCTAGATTATCATGAAACCAATGGGTTTATACCTGTTATTACTTTTGATTCATCAGAAATTGGTCCAATTACAATCAGGTCAATGTAGCGACGATCTTTTTGTTCAACAAACAATTTTGTAAAGAACTCTTCTGACTATTATAAGAATTGGCCTTAAATAAGAATAAAACTAATTTTTACCTTGAAAATGTTCTGAGCTGATTGACTAAAAATATCAGCTTGAAATGTTAATGTTCGGTATGCTTCATATACCTCAGCTTTGAAAACTCGTTCAGAGTTTTGATAAAACTTATTAAAATGAACTGTAGCAACCTTTTGTAATAATATTAAGGAATAAAATGGTTAAGTGCATGTCTAGTCAGAAAGCAAATACTTAAATGAGCACAATTTTTTATGTATGGAGCTATTATGGTTACTTAATACACAAAATATCACATTATAGGCTACTAATCTTACTTCATGAAAAGCTCTTGATAAAATGAGAGAATGCCCAGATTTGTTTCCAAATGATATATCAAAAGCAAGATCATTTCTAGGAACAAATTTCAAAAAATTCAATAGAGCTTCTTTCAAGGAAAATGGCTATATAAATATAAGAATAATGAACACCATCAGCTGACAATATTGTATTACTAGTTTACCTGACCCCTTAACTGCAAACCAATATATATATGGCTCAAAAAATGAGTAAACAAAGTCCTCAAGATTAGGGTTCTCAAAATTTGATCGAAAAAAATAACCTTTCAAATCTTTCAATTTATCCCATTTCTTTTTAACTTGATTTGCATGTGTAATATGTGGAGTTTCATTACTTCTTGCTGTAATAAGAACAATTTAATTTGACTTACTCTATTATGCAGTATTTTATTGTTACCTATTAGCTCATCAATTTCTTCATCAAGTAGATCACTATGAATTCTTGTTAGTAGGTATAGGAGCTCGTGGTCCTCAGAAATGATTTTCTTTAATTCTTTCTGAATATAAATATGTTTGAATACTTCTCCATGACCAGTGTCAGCATAGAAGAGCCTAGCTACTAAAAATTCAAGATCATTTTTAATTTGAGGAGATAGGAATTGCTTTATTTTTGCCATTAAATTCTTATTTTTTTCTTTACAACAAAAGACATCGCATATTATATTTGAAGGTAATGGGAAGAAGTGTTCATCAGGAGGAAGACAAGATTCATGACAAAATGTAGCAATTTCTTTAGCACCAAGTTCGGCTGTATGACGAGTATGGCACCAAATTAAACCAATAATGATTGCCATTATTGCAACAGACACCAAAACAAAAACTGTGTTACGCAAAAAATATAGCAGGGTCAGGCTATTGTAGATGCATTCAATTTGTTCTTCTAAAGGCCAAGCTGTTGTATTAAGTTGGCTTGTATCTGTTGGACAGCAAAATGATTCTTTATAGTCCTTATCTTTAAATAAAACAGCATTAGTAATCAGTATTGTCCAGCAAATGATAAATTGAGCTAATAATTTTAGCTTGTAACAAAGAAAAATCCGCTTAGAAGCAGAAAACTTTTCTTCTAACTTTTTGACAAGTTCAAAGTTATTTGGACTGTATTCTCCGGTGTTAGTATCACGAAGGCGGTGAAGTTTTTTTGCCAAGTCAAAAAAGAAATCGAAGTGTGCCCCGAAGTATGATGTCCAGAGATAATGAGGTGCAATAATGAAAAGAGCTGACACTAATATAAAGATAAGGTAATACTGACTGTTCGGTAAACTACCATAACAGTAATTGTTAAAATAAGCAATGTGATCACGAGAGGTAACATACTCGGGTGTATAGCAATGCACAGTAGATCCTCGAAAAAATTCAACTGATATGTCCAAAAAACTAAGACCCAAAATTGCTGAAACCAAATAATATAAAATTTGATCCCAATAGAAATCTTTTGGGCTAATACTTGTATCAACCTTTTCTGATGCAGGAACCAGATCTGGACTTTTTTTTTCAGCAAAAACCACCTTTTCAGCACTGAAGTTCTCAATTGCTTGTCCAGAAACTTCAACCACTTTGCTGGCCATTGTTATAGTTCAAAAATCTTTTGTTCTTGGGTTGCACATGATACAGTTGACATAGCCTTACCACATCCAGATTCATGTCATGATTATAATTAGATCAGGGAATTGATGTTTTAATTGCACAATACTATGCTCAGTAAGCTGAAGGAAGTTGTTGATCTGCAACTGTAGCTTTTGTCAATTTTATGATTAATGTAAGTACATAGCCAGGTGATTCTGTTAATCTTCAAGTATTATTTTTATTTCAGTCTGTTATTATTCACATATTGAAGACTAAAAATATCACTCGAAAAATGAACAAAGTCTGAGAACAAGCAAAAAATGTAATTAGAAAAATGAGCAAAAAATAACTTGGTGTGCTGAAGTACAATCACTGAAATTTCCAAATATTGGACACATAAATAACGTTGTAAAATTTCTTCTTCTAATTTTGTCGTTTTGGAACCTAAGCCTAATTTGATGTATGACAACATTATTGAATAATCTTATGCTGATCAGTAGGCATGTTGATTTCCAAGTATGTACTTAGAGCTGCAGTTCAATGAGGTAGATTAATTTTTATTGAGGAGGAAATCCTGTTTTTTGTTGAAACATTGTCATCATTGATTTATTTTAAAAGTTATTTTGATATTGAGAAAATATTGTTCAGGCAATATGCTGCATCGTCAGTTGTACTCATTTGTATAGTTGGTGGGTAGGAAATGCATGGTACATTGAATAGTATGTGCACACGGATATACACAATATATATGGTTATCAAGGAAAATAGAAGAGGCTACAAGTATAATATGGTCATATGGTTTTTTATTAGATGTATGAGGAAAAAAGAAAGTATCACCTGAGGGCCGAGAAACTTACATTCACTACTGCTTCAGTTTGGGTAACCTTTAATTTGATTGAGTAATGGCAATCATCAAAGCCTGTTAAATGTCTTTGTGTTTGCTTATCACAGCAAAAAACTTTGTTTAAAACTACTCTTAGATGGTAACTTCAGAGGTAACCAACTATATACCCATGGGTTGTTCTACTACTTATTTTTTGCAGTGATACAGATGTGATAAATTCTAGTGATTACTTTGTTGTGGGGGATGAAAAAGCCAGTGACAAATTCATTGAATTAGCCTTGCATAAATAATTATATCACATGCCTGACTATTTGATCATACTTTATTGTAAACAAAATAGTTTCACAAGTGGACATACTTTGGTTAGCAGGTGATAATTATCTTGCAATAATTTATGATGGACATGGTAAGTGGTAAAGAATGATAAAATTTGTGCAAACGTGATGAAATTTGTGTATTTAATTGTTAGTAGATTTATATTGGGTAACAAAATAAACTTTTTAAAAAGAAATTTTAAGTTAGAGCAATTTTTATGGTTGTTGTTTATTGTAAATGTAAGCACACTAACAATTGATTATTATCAGATCAATATTGTGTAGAAAACATTATAAACTAAAATAGATTTTGGAAAAATTTAATTAAAGTACATGATTTTTATAGTCAAGTATCTCTGTTGATTCATGTCAATGATGTCACCATGTGTTACATCAATTTTCAAACACTAAACATGATTGCAGCACAACTAATATAATTAGTAGTTTAAAAATAATGAATAATAATACACAAGTTTAAGAATCAGTCACTGTAAGGTAGTCATCATCAATTTCATTGGCAATGATAAAAGACTCATCTTTCATTCCACTTTCATTCAATATCTGATCAAGTCTGGCTTTATTCAAAGTATCAGAAGAATCCTTTGATGTGCCTATTATTACTGGTACTCTTTTCAAACAAAAAAACAATTGACGACTAACCATTTTCACAATGTTTTGGTAAATATTGATCAGCCTTAATAGCGACAGAAACACTTGTTTGCTATTTAATAAGATAATTAAATGAACATGAATTGTTTATATACAAACTTGAAATGAAAATGGACGTAGAAGATTTGAAGCTCTTAGCGACAAGCTGCCAATTATTTCAGAATTTGCTTTCTTGTCATTCCACCATTTAGAATATGCTGCCCTCACCTGTACATACACAAGTAATAATAAAAGATACCCATCAGTATCATTAATAATTAACATACGTGTTTAGAGAGAGGTACGTAAAGTACAAATATAACAATTCCTTGACCAGCAATCAATACAGTCATGATGTAAGCAATAAAGAGAAGCTCTTCTCTAAAGAAAAGAACACTACCAAGCCATGCTATTCCCATCACACAAGTTAGAGACATAGAACATTTTATCCAATACCTAAAATGATAATTATAAATGATGTGCAATCCATTATGCTGTTGTCCCCAACCTATAACATGTGACCACAAACCAATTACAAATAATCAAGTTATAATCATACTATAAACAAATATCATATTGATGTATTATTAACTAATTACATTTTTCCAACTGAAAGACATCCAAATTACATCAAAACAAAACACATAATGCACACAAAACAGTATACCCTAATTCATGCATGGCAAAACAGAATTCAAAGAAAGCAATCGTTGCATGGAGTACACAAGCCAATAATATAACTGGATACCAGACTAGGTTGATTGGATAAAATTAGACCTGGGGTCAATTACAAAACCTCACAATTACACATTCAATTACATTCCTTTTGTAAAAGTAGGCTCAATTAGAATTACAATCATACCATGTTAAAGTAATTTTAAATAAAAATACTATTTTGATATGTTTTGGCACCATAAAAGTAATAACATATTGTCATCAGGGTTTCCCACAAAGCATAGCGTATAACGGGAAATTTAAGAGGGAATTAAATTTGGTGAATTTGGCATTTTGATAGCCATTCACCAAAATAAAATCTGCCATTTTGAGCCATTCGCCAAAATAAAATCTGCCATTTTGAGCCATTATACGCATGCTCAATGGCATGTGGCTACAAATTTGCCAAATTAAAATTCACCAATCACAAAAATTTAGCAATTCGCCAAATTTTAGTTCCTCCAAAATTTCCCATTATACGGTACTACATTAGCTAAACAGCACACATCATGAGCTAACAGGCATAGTTCTAGTTCATGGCTTTTGGAGTAGCTTTAAAATATATAAAATTTCAATTTTGATCAGAATTAGCTCAAACTAGATATACAACGTCAGAAAATGTATATACTTTAGAAAAAATTATAAAAATAGAAAATTCTTTTCTAACCAATTGAATTTTGACAAAATTTGGGCCAAGACCATGGTCTTGGGCCAGGTTTTTGAGCAACTTTAAAAATTTATTAACAATCTAATTATGACCAGAATTTGTTTAAACTAAATACACATCATCAGAGCATGTATATGTATCAGAAAAATTATAAAATGGAAAATTCTTTCCTAGCTATCTTTGACAAAAGGAAGCATTGTGCTACCAAGTAAAGGGATAAAATAACTTGCCACCACAAGTAATATTAATAAACTAAAGAAAAATTCTGGCATTCAAAACCAAAGCATATGTAACATACTTTATATCATTATAAAATGATTGGTTTGGTTGAGCTTTTTTATGTCTTTTCATTATTACAATTGCCATTATGAAGAAGCCAATATTAATCTATAATAAGTTTAATCATAAAACAGATTAAAGACAATATTTTATATTTTACCAAAATTATCAAAATGACTGGAGCAATGAAAGACCATATGAACCCAGTCTCATAACTCAACCAGCAACTATAAATGACACAAACAAGAATTACATCCAGTAAATGAAAACTATTACTTACGCAACCAGTTCATCATTATTGTAAAGCAAGTAATGATTAGATTGATTATTACCAGTATCAACTAGATATCCAATAGGAACAACTAACATCATATAAATAGCTGGAACACCTAACAAACACACACAAAAACTATTAACTACTACAATGCCAATGCTTACTGTAACAGACAAGCGTAAAAGCTACTGCATAATGCCTTGTGCGAGTAGTAAACACTTTAACCAATGCTATGTATAAAATGGCTCCTTCCATTAACATCCACATGAACGTAACTAAAAACATGTATTGCATTACAGTAGCGATGATTGAGCAGGCAACCTGTAGTGGATAATATGCACATATAATGTATTTATTTATGAAATAAAGTACTTTGTTTTCAATTCTTTGAACTCCAAATAAAAACGTCAGTTGCGCTATAAACAAGTTGATACACAGCATTATGTGTATATAGTTCCTAATGCTCCAGAGTTTTCTGTAATGATAGCATAAAATCAATAAAATAATTACACTTCTTAATTACCTCATACAGGAATAACACAATATTGTCAGTAACATACACACTAAGGAGATAGTTACAAACACTTGTCCAATAGTTGTCAAAATAACCAAATTACTGCCATTAACCTATGATTGAACATTAGGCCACTTTAATAAGATTCATAGTTTTCTGTTTTCTGCCCACACAGTGCTACATTGCTATTATTTATTGCACTTTTGCATTAATTATCCATACAATTTATACAATGATAATGAGTTATACATTGCATTGATTACCGTATAGTGGGATTTATTGACAAAGGTTTTATTTTGACGAGTTGACGATTTAAAATAAAACGTCAAATTTAATAACCGTCAAAAATTTTGTACTTTGTGCCACGTGTATGCAAAGGGCACTATTCGTCAAATTAAAACTCGCCAACCGGGGAAATTTACTGTTTTCATCAAATTTTTTACTCGTCAATAAATCCCGCTATATGGTATTACCCTGCCCGGCCACCTGTTCACAAAACAAACGATGAATCTAATTGCAATGGCCTCATATATTTATCAATTATAAAAGCTGTTACTTACTGAAGATGATGAGTCTGGACTAAGTAGAATAGCAAAATGTGTTAAATGGTCACAGTTACATTCCAATATAGAACCGTCTTTATTAGAAGTATTACATCCATTTGTGTCCCATTCACCAGTCACCGAAGAATTATCTGAACTGAAAACAAGCATTATGTTCATCATGCTATTGATAATGTATACAATAATGGTACTTTTAATGGTCCAGACTTAATTAACAAGTTTAGTTTAATTGAATATGTGTCGTAATTTATTCACAACAGCGACAACGCATCAAAGCTCAAAATTAATTTTAAAGCCAATGTTTTCAAAAATTATGTTACTAAGTACGTGTACATGTAAATAGGCAAAACTCACGAATTTCTAATTTTCCAATACGCACATATAAGGTTACGAATTTCCACCTGCTAAGATTTAGTTAAAAAATTTCAAAAACAATATCAAATTACTGGTGATGATGAGAGATTGAAAGTAATATTAACAGACTCCGATAAATTTACAAAGTTACATCCTTTACAATCAGTTGTAGCAGATACAACATCAGAAATCAATTGTAGTGAAGAGCTATTTGGTTCAAGTACTGATGACAAGTCCTGAAGAATGTATGATGCTACTCTAACAGGCAAAGTACTAAATATCTCGGGTGGTAAAGTAATAGAATTTCCATCAAAAGATATTCCTACAACTCTATCAGCTTTGATAATTTTTCGACTTTTCATTTCTATTTTAAGATATACTATATAACAATGTACCTTTTAAATGTAACATACTTATAGTTTCAGAGAGGATAACACTATTATTGGAATCTAATTTCAGTGCTAGTTCATCAAGTATTAGCAACAAACGAGTACCAGCAATTCTCCTCTGCTCCTATATTGATACATACATGTAGTTTGTTATTGCTACTGAGTAATGCTACAAACCTTATTATTTGAAATGTTCTTCATTCTAATTATTGATTCAGATATACCAATTACTTGCTACAAAAAGTATTAACAAGAATTAATAATCAGTAACACATGCACACAGATGTACCTCTGTGTGCTCTTCAGTCACATTTTCCACTGATGTTACTATCATGTTAAGTAAAACTACTGCCTCCCTACTTGAAAAAGCCTCTCTTGTTTCATTCAAAATACTCAGGGCCAAGTTAGGGTCTTGTTTAATCTAAGATCAATCAGCATTAACATCAATTGGAACGATACTAACCTCCTGTGAAATCCTGTTAAAATCTTCACTAGTGTGACATATGATTTCTTCCCACACTCCATCTCTATTGCAAAATCTATTGGCTGATAGGACATATAAATCAGTTTCAATACAATTACACATTGAGCATTACCATTAATTATTCCATTATGACAAAAGCCACTGACATTTTGATTGGCAGAAGTTTTAGGCCATGTTCCATTACTTTCACAGAATAAAGGCAGTGGAGTTGAAGATGGTAAAATGCCACTAAGAGAGCTAGTTGGCTGAATAACAGAGCGTTGAATCAACATTCTAACAAATCGTGATGCAGATGCATTTCCTTCATTCATTAGAAAAAATGCACTACTATTATCACTACTACTACTACATCCTGGATGCATTATGTTACCATTGGCATGATCCCAAAGTGGCCTGCATTAACTATAAAATGATAAGAATTTAATAACACTTACTCATTGAATCTTTGTTTAGACAAGACACTAAATTGACCAAGACTCCAAATATCAGCTCCAACAGTGTAGTTATCTTGTTCCCACATCAAATAGAAGCTATCAACATTTTTGGAAATGCAAAAAGACAATTCAGTTTTATGCGTAGAATTCGGTGAATAAATTGGCACATGATACAATGTAGTAGTATTAAAATCAGTCCAGTATTTGTTACCAACTGGTGCATAATAAGCTAATGGAGCCTCATATTGATCAGTGCTAAGTGAGAGGAGGATGGTATTGGGAAATGAATCAGTAATAGGAAGTGGTTGAGTGAAGTTGTGTAGCTGAAATAAGAAGCTAATATGTATCCTAAAAAATCAATTTAGCACATTATACAATGTAGCACATCACAGTTTACATGCAGGTGCTTTAGTACAACTTACAAAGTCTCATCATTCGCATCACATAGGACATTTGAAGAAAATACACTTGGCAGAGTAACAATTTCAACAAGGTTTACATCAAACAATGGAGACGTAGCTGTTCTATTGGCTTCACCTTGACCATCACTAAAGAATAAACACTTCCCATTTCTGTTATCACATTCAATTGAATCATCCGACTCCCTTCCATTATAAAAGATCCAACCAGATGGATTGTTAAATGTTTCATTATAAATTACACGAGACTGCCCAAGGTATTCTATACTTACAGCGACATCATCCAATGCCCATATGTCACAATAAAGTGACTGAGCAGTAAAGTATTGCTTCCAAATAAATGATATACTTTCTCCTTTTGTTACATTTAATGTTAAGCTATAAAAATGTGGGCCTTCCTTCTTTGACACAGTACAGGAAATATTTTGACCATCATACTCCAGCATGCATGCATCTGGGAAAATGCATTTTGATATTTTAAGATGGCTTGAGCTCATGCCATTGCAACTGTCAGTATAAAAGTGCAATGACGTAAGTGTATTCATACTGTTTTTTGAAAGTAATATCCCTTCATCAGCTGAATCCAGTGCTTGACAAACACAATCACAATGACAAGGATACCGAAGAGTCAGTAAAAATGAAAGAGTGCTGATAAAAGTATAATTAATTTCAAAAAATTGTATAAACTCACAGTAATATGTTGTCATTATCGATTTGGCAGTCAAGAACATTTATTGGGCAAATAATATCAGGAGATATTTGACTAGCAAAAAGAAGACTAGAGTCATTATCACAGCTAGATGAATCAATGATAAACAAATTTGTCGTTGTACTCAAAGCAAGAATTTGTGTCTCAATAATCACTGGTTCATCTGTATTGGTGGCAGATACATGATTACAAAAGAGGAAGCTGGTACTAAAAATAATATAGCCTGTGTTAATTATTATAATAGTAACAACAAACCTGACATTCATTTCATTATTGTTGAGATAAAGATAAACACGATCATCCATAACTATGTTGCATCTCTCAGCAGTTTGGGCTGGCATTTCAAGCCTATACTGCACTTGACTGACATTATCAACTGGTAAACTGATGTTTTGTCTTTTTCCATCATTGCAATAGCCTATATATAATATACATACAATCACTGAAGTGAAGTGAGAAATTATCGATTTTAGGCCAGCGTAGGTACACTGATGTATTTGTAATGCTACCAGGCTACCTAATGGCAAAATATGGCAAGCCACTGAAGTGTCCATGTAAAGCTTTATGCTCTCTTGACTTGGCAATTAAAGGCAAAACATACATGTAACTATACATTAGTGTGTAAAGGAAAAAATTATTAAAATTGCTAATTTTAAAAAAGCCAAACTAGATCCCTCTAAATGACTGTAGGTTGGGGAATGGTCTGGCTTAGCAAGACTAGATCTTTCCGTTCCAAATGTCTAAGATAACACTGACTAATAATAAGGTCTAGCCACTAACCATTGTCACTATATGCTAAATACCAAGGATTAAAATCAGAGCTTTGATTAATTTTGTATCTGACAGACAACTTGAAAGTATGAGCAATGCAACAGTTACTGCATCTCACTTGAAAAGAGGCGGTCCTATATCACAAAATTTTATCATACATGTAAGTTCAATGAAAAGACACTTACAAAAAACTTTGCCTTTGGGAATGACTAGATCCAGTTGCACAGAGCAACAAAAACGCTAATATTACAATTAAGAGGCTGTAATTTACAACGAGTGCTGACTTCATTTCTGTCTTCCTGTAGTCTCCCTCGCTAGCAGAAGCGAGGCTAATTCTCCCCGAGTGCCGAGATGTGTTTTTCTAGGTTTTCTTGGCATAGATGATAACACTCAAACAGCAATTTTGTCATACCATTCATACCAATCAGAGGCGTGCCCAGCAAAATTGCAAACTTTAAAGGCTTCCATACACTAGGCAACATGTTGCTATACTTTTGTGGTTACTTTGATCTTGTAAGCAACATGTTGCCAGAAATAGAACAGCCTTCTATTTCTGGCAACAGTTCCTTACAAGATGTAATCACAAATGTTGCAAGCAACATGTTGCCTAGTGTATGGGGCTGCTATATCCATCGCTAACATTCCACATGATTCCAGCAACAGAACAACAAGCAGGCTGGGGAGCATTCCTTGATCATATATATAATACCGTCTATCTGAAATTTTTACTGTGATTTTAATTTTACTGCATTAGAATTTCGCAAAAAAATTAGACTTACCCATATAATTACATGCTATATTCAATAATACATAACACAGTATTATTTAGTAAAAATTAAATCACAGCACAAGTTTAAAACTCAAAAATTTGTACCACACTAATTTCCTGATCTACAGTATATAGGAAACTGAAAGAAAGCAGGATATTGGATTAAATTTTGGGTAAACACACTCTTCTTAATTGTATTACATTAATTTTATTTACATGTAGATCTATCTACGTGTACATAGATCTAGTTACAATTAAATAACCTATCGGCATACACCCACACTTTTTATATGGGTTTGGTGGAAATACTTGAATTCCCAGCTTTTATCAGAACAGGAATCCATGAGGTAGTGGTGTTGATCGATTAATGAAGGGTCGTGATGAGACTCTTACCTTCACATGGTCTCAGTAAGCTTCGCCATTTGCAGTCAGACAAGTATTACTAGCTAATTCTATTTTACAAACTTTTGTCCTGTTAAATTTAATTAAATTATAATTAACATGTATGCCTTTCACCATAATTGTTTATTAAGGTTATTTCATTATGGTAGCTACTCCCAATAATGACATTAAAATGTTTACTAGTTCATAGAAAAGATATGGGTTTTTGAGTCCTACGCCACCAATAAATTTTTAAAGGGATGATTATCATTTTAGGGACAATTCTTCTGTTTTTGTATTCATATTGAAATAATGACACTTATTATAGTGATGGGCTGATGGCCATGAATTAGAATTAATGTTAAAAATAGCATTTTGTAGAACTAGAAATCTTTCCACCAGCCAGATCATTACTCCTATACTTACTATAGATGGGGTACTATTATATCAAAATGCTGTCATTAATTTAAGATATCACCTTTTTACTGTGGTCATTGCCTCCAAAATGCTATATAACCATTTTACTACATACATCTCTTTAATTAGAAATGCTTATAGTCAGTTTTCTCTCACAGGATTTTGGCATAGTGCTCATGTAGGTTATTGTCAGTGGATTTTAAAGTTGCTCCAAACTTTGACAAAATAATGTCTACTATACAGGAAATTTTTCAAAAATTGCTAGGAGAGAATTTTCCATTTTTATAATTTTCTTAATACACACATGGCATGCATATGTTTTTTACTTTATAAAATTTTGAGCTGACTCCAATCAAAATACAAGTTTTTTAAATACTCAAAGTCATGCAAAAATTCCTGTATAAAAATACTATATAATAGTACAGTGTCTTTGACCAAATTTCGTCAAAAATGACTAGGAGAATATTCTGTATTTTATAATATTTTCTGATAAATATACATGTACTTGTGATATGTAACAAGTTCGAGCTGATTCCAATCAAAATTGGATTTTTTTTACAGATTTTTAAGGTTACTAAAAATCAGACAAAAGTCCTTGTACATAGTACCCAAATTTTTCCAAAAATAACTACGAGAGAATTCTTTATTTTATAATACTGTATAGTGGATTTTTTGTAGGCTTCACATTTTGTGGTTTGTTCAGCTAGTGGGACAATTTGTGGCTTCAATTTTCGTGGTTGACTTGACAGTTTACATGGCTTTAGACAATTACACTAGAACTGTTACAGGAAACAATGTCGACACTATAGGCACTTTATATGGCAATGTTTTAAGGCTTGGAATATTACAAAATGTTCTCATCCGTTTAAGGTGGCTACAGTGCAGTGGTACGTTACCTATCACACAACTTACAGTAAGATCAATTCTACCAGCTGCTCTGTTCTCCAAATGCATGTCTCACTGACTTGCCTGTCATTTCAATCATGTGATCAACATGCTCTTGACATCACACTGTAAGAGAAGAGAGAGGGAAAAAGAGGGAAAAGAAGGACAGAGAAAGAGACTGCAGGCTTAATACATGAATGCATCTAAAGCGCTATAATAGCTCTAGTCTGAGAGCAACCCCTTATTACTCAGAATCTTATAATATTCCAATTTTAGCAATTTATCATAAAAATCTAACAAATTCTGTGGCTATTGTGGATTGTGATAAACACTCCAAAGTTTTGGCAGATATTGTGGCTGCATTGAGTCTAGAAAATGTTGACGCCATCTTTGTTGAAACTCTACCAAGTCTTCTCTTTCCTTTACTGCCTTTACTACCAGCTCACCATGTGAAACATAATTGGGATTGTGCAATCTAGTTTATACAAAAAACAAATATTATGAACATGCAATATGTAGATATGGTATCATTAACCTTGTTTCTATTTTCAGAAGCTCCTCTATCATATCATCAGTCACTTCATCTTTTTCACAGTTAAAATGTTTAGCTAAAGTTTCTGTTATATCTTCTCTCCTCTTCTTTGGTAACGTTTCTTTGTGTCCTTTTAAAGCACGGGCTAAACTTCGGAGTTTAACTTTTTCTGGGTCTTCGTGAAACTTCTGAGTACTAGCTTCCAGTGGTGCTGAATATTCTAATGCTATTTGTTGTTTTATTATGCTGTCATGATGAGTCGATAACTGATGGCAGGTCACACACAAGAGAAGAACATCATGTGACAGATGCTCCTTCATCTTAGGAGGAAAAAATCTAAAAAAAAATAAAAAAAACAAAACCTTAATGACTCCCAAAGTCACTGTGTTGGCCATTATTTTACTTTCTGTATTCATGAGGCACTACATTTTTCCTGATGTAGCTGTCCTTTCTTCCACAAACCACACAAATATTTTCTTTCTCTGTCAAGTAGTATTCTCTGTCTTTCTTTGGCTTCCCTGATGGCTCAAACAACAATTGCAATACAGGAGGATCTTCACTCACAAGTACTATTATAATATAAATTAACTGTATGGTTTAGACTGTGATGTAATGATAACATTACCTCCAAGCTCTTTACTGAGATACCATTCAACTTTCCTTTTATCAACAGTAGATAGTAGTGTTCCATCAGGAGCTATTAGCTGGCAATTGTAATAAAGTGGGCTCTGCCTTATACTGTAAGCAGCTGTACGACCACTGGCTTGTGGCTTCTGAGGTTGGGAATTATTCCTAATGTTATAATTGACATCAATGATGCCTTGACACAATGAGAATACACAAGATTTCTCCTCTTCACTGATTGTGTCACTCTTCATTGTCTGGCATGAATCACTTTTTGTTCTCCTTTTCTTATGCTCTGCTAGTTTGCTAAGTATAATCAATCCAGCAATAGCATCTCTAGCAGCATATAGAATCTGATCATCACTGAGGACATCACGTTCCCAATTGCTACAAGTTATTTCTTTCGATTTAGTTAAGACACTATCAGTCAGTTGTTCTAACAATCCTCCTAAGCCATTATTTCGCCTACAAATACATATTAATAATAATGTTTGAAGTTTTGCTCATACATGTACCTTATACCACATCTAAAAGCAACGTTCCTTAAATCAATGCAACTAACAGTGAGAGTCCCAGACCATTCACAGAGTCTAGTCACATCATTCATAATTCCAACTCCAAATTTAAAAGAACTATAAAAAGAAATTAATTTATTTGTAATTAATTCAGTTTTAAAATGGTCATAAATTAAAAAAACTAATTTGTCCAAATCCACTCAAACTTTCTACATAGCCAAAAGGCAACAATATGTATCAGAAAATGTAATAAAAATTTGGTGGGATTTCGGAGTCATTTTTGAAAAAACCATAGGTTATAGCCTTAGTTTTTTTTTCAAAATTTGCTACTTTTTAAAAATTGGTCATAACTCTAGAATTTGAGCTTGGAATTGGCTCAAACTTTCTACATAGCATAAGGACATCAATATGCATCAGAAAATGTAATAAAAATTTGGCATGATTTTTGAGCCATTTTTGAAAAAAAAACCATGGCCTTGGGTATTTTTAGAATTTTGAAATTTTCTTAAAATGGCCATTACTCAAAAAATTGAAGTTGAAATTACCTTAAACTTTCTACACAGCATAAGGACATCAATATGTATCAGAAAATGTAAAAAAAATTTGGGATCATTTTGGAGCCATTTTTTGGTACAAATCATGGGCATATAGCCTTGGGTATTTTTAAAATTTTGGCATTTTCTTAAAATGGCCGTAACTTAAAAAATTCAAGTTGGAATCACCTCAAACTTGCTACACAGCATAAGGACATTAATATGTATCAGAAAATGTAATAAAAATTTGGGGTGATTTCGGAGCCATTTTTTGGGAAAAACCATGGGCTATAGCCTTGGGTAATTTTCAGAATTTTGGCATTTTCTTAAAATGGCCGCAACTTAAAAAATTCAAGTCGGAATCACTTCAAACTTTCTACACAGCATAAGGACATCAATATGTATCAGAAAATGTAATAAAAATTTGGGGTCATTTTGGAGCCATTTTTTTGGTACAAACCATGGGCGTATAGCCTTGGGTATTTTTAGAATTTTGGCATTTTCTTAAAATGGCGATAAATTAAAAAATTCAAGTTGGAATCACCTCAAACTTGCTACACAGTATTAGGAGTTCAATATGTATCAGAAAATGTAATAAAAATTTGGGGTGATGTCGGAGTCATTTTTTGAAAAAAAACCATGGGCTATAGCCTTGGGTATTTTTCAGAATTTTGGCATTTTCTTAAAATGGCCGTAACTTAAAAAATTTAAGTCGGAATCACCTCAAACTTGCTACACAGCATAAGGACATCAATATGCATCAGAAAATGTAATAAAAATTTGGGGTGATTTCGGAGCCATTTTTTAGAAAAAACCATGGGCTATATATAACCTTGGTTATTTTTCAGAATTTTGACGTTTTCTTAAAATGGCAGCAACTTGAAAAATTGAAGTCGGAATCACTTCAAACCTGCTACACAGCATAAGGACATCATTATGTATCAGAAAATGTTATAAAAGTTTGGGGTCATTTTGGAGCCATTTTTTGGCAAAAACCACGTGTTATAGCCTTGGATAATTTTCAGAATTTTGGCATTTTCTTAAAATGGCTGTAACTTTCAAGGGCTATAATTATAGCCTTTGCTTTTTTGGCTCAATTTAAAAAGTACTCATAACTAAAAAATTTTTTGTCGGAATTGGCTCAAACTTTCTATATAGTATAACAACACAAATCAAGTATAAAAATGTAATCAATAATTTGGGTGATTTGGACCCATTTTTGAAAAAAACCATATAGCCTTTGCTTTAAAAAAAAATTAGCTCAATTTAATAAGTGCTCATACATGTATTGTAACTCAAACATTCCTCGTCAGAATTGGCTCAAACTTTCTACAAAGCATAAGGACATCAATTAGTATCAGAAAATGTAATAAATAATTTTAGATGATCTTAGATCCATTTTTAGAAAAATTGTAGTTTACATAGTCTTTCCTTTTTATCAAAGTTTGGCTTGTTTTTAAAATGGTAATAACTCAAAAAGTATCTGTTGAAATCAACTAAAACTTTGTACACAGCATAAGGACATCAATATGTATTAGGAAAAATAATAAAATTTTGAGTGATTTTTGAGCCATTTTTGAAAAAACCATGAAATAACCTTTGCTTTTAAAAATTGGCTGAATTAAAAAGTGCTCATAACTTCAAAATTTCTTGTCAGAATGCGCTCTTTCTACATAGTATAGGACACTAATATGTATAGGAAAATTTAATAAAATTTTGAATGAGTTTGGACCCATTTTTTGAAAAAAAAACAATGGGCTATAGCTTTTGCTTTATTCTAAAATAATATTTGCTAATTTTAAAATGATCATAGCTTGAAAAATATTTGTCGGAAACAGTTCAAAATTTCTACATAGTATAAGGGGAGCAATATGTATCAGAAAATGTAATAAAAATTTGAGGGTAATTTTGGAGCCATTAAAAAAATAACATGTACAATTGTACATAACTTAATTACATACCTTTTATCAGTCAATATCTTCTGTAAACTTTCTGTTAACCTTCCAATTTTAGACAATCGGACTAAAGCACATTCCTTATTAGGAAATGCTAACTGGAGTAATGCCACAGGATAATAAGAGCTCTCATTATTCCTTTGATTATCACTGACCCATTCACAATCAAACCCAATAAAAGTGGTGGTATCTTGCAATCTCTTAAAGTAAGCCTCACATTGTTCTGCTGTATCTATGACTGACACTTTGTAGTCACTAATGTCAAGCACAGGGCGAGGTACAGGGCTTGGTACAATGGCCTTAGAATTCCTACATCTCCTCCAGTACAAGGTTAATAAGGTCGCTAGTGCTAGGCCTATAGATTGCATTACATAGTGAGAGGAAGAAGTGGCTACTTACCCTCGTACTTACCTGAAGAAGATATTACAAAAGATATAAACCCAGCTCGTAGAAACCACTTCATTTTAGTGTCCAACCAGCAACAGCCACACCTTTTAATAATCTGGTGTGTCAGTGCATTCCACAATCACATCTAAAGGCCTTGAGGGTAAATGTGCTGATATCATAATAAATTGTTGTGCATAAGCATACAAGTGAATTTTTATTGTAGCAAACAGCAAAAAAGCAATGCAAAATTTAGTTCACTTGACTATAGTTTAGTTCTTCATAGCAGTTAAAAGTCTAGCATAAAGGCCACCAATTACTGGGCGAGCTGTGAATCCTTGTCGATGAGCAGTATCAACAGCATACCTTTGAATTAATAATAATGATTGTCATTAGAATAATTATACCAACCAGTCAGTGAATGGAGATCGATCTGGTGTTTCATTAGCAAACTTGTACACAGCAGAGGTTATAGAGTTAAACTGATACAGTATCGAATCTTATACATTAATATCTAATTGTACCTGATCATCAGAAGCCATTGCAGCAGTCCACATGAGCCAATCAGTTTTAGTATACAAATGACGATCATCCATTGGTATACCATACTATTGTAGAATCAATAAGTCTCATGATTATTGTTCCAGTAGATTTAATAAATATACCGTATTCATTTTGCTCATGTAATATTTCAGTTCTTGATCAAACACTGACTGTGGAAACAGGTTCAATTTTAGTATTTTCTATCATTGCAAAAAAATAAATTCAATAAATAGATACAGGCTCTACCTGAAATAAGAGATTGTATTTGAGTGACCATGAACCAGGTAAGTTATACTGACGCTTGTAGTGATCCCCATCCTATAAGGACAATATTAAAATCTATACTTGTCTTTCTCACCAGTCCATTAGTTGTCCAGTATTGTATGAATTGAGTATTAGCAGTTTCATACTTCTCAGCTGATGCAGTGTCTCCTTTCATTCTTAGCAATTGAGAGTATGCTCCAAGAGCTACCATACCCTACCAAACACACAATAACTGTTATGTAATGTATACTTGATTTAGTCTTACTTTAGCAGCTAAGTTCATATTATGAGGTGATGGCCCCTCAAAGTCATCAGTACACAATTGGTTCCCAGGATCAGGGAGACTAGCTACAACGAAGTCAGCCCATATTGTTAACAGGGGCCAGTATGGGTCAAGGAAAGTCAAGTTTTTTGTCTGAAGAACAACACCAGCTATCATTAGTAACTAAATAAATAGATAGTAACAAATTGGCTTCTAAACCCTGTACAGGAATACTGGCAGTGCTTTATTTTACCAATAACAAAGTAATTAATGCATAAACATTCATCTAAAATGGGAGGTTACTATTGGCAATTATAAAGTTTCAGCTGATTTCAATTGTAATTTTTTGAGCTATGAAAAAATTACATAACTAACCATGTTACCAGATTCTTCTACTGGCATTTGTTCTTGTCTGTTTGGCTCTAAGTCACATACTAAAATATAATAATAATAAATATTTTAATTATTAATAAATGGTGCCTAACCTGGCCAATGGCCTAAATGGTGTGGTGCCTGAGAAAAACAACAAAAAATCAATAAAAAATTTCAAAATATAGCGTTACCCATTGCAAGTTGTAAGGTACGTCTAGTCCATATTCCTTTGTGTCATTGTTAGCATAATTGAGGAGAGGAAGCAGCATTAACTGAAGGGTCTATAATGTGTAGACACACTAATAAACAATCTTTATAAATATATGAACACATACCTCAGGGAGATGCCATATGAAAAGAGGTGAAGCTGGAAACATTACATCAACCTGAAAAAAAATTAAAACTGAAATTAAATGACATTTATAAAAAACTTACAGTACTAACGTCACCATCACTTGATATCTCTTTTAAAAATACCCATGGCTCATTTGTCACATTATTCCAAACAGCAATAGTACCTCCTACTGCTTGTCTGTAATAAAACAATAAGTCAGTGATCTATAGCTAACATACATGTATATACCTCCAAGCTAATGATGAAATTGTGGCATAATTTTGTCCCCCAGCATTATACAATGCTTCAGTAATCTCAGCATCTTTGTCATCACATGCCTGCAATGATTAGACGAACAATAAGCAACAATTTAAAAGTACCTTTTTCAGTGTCTCGTACTCTGAATTTCTTATTAGGCCAGTAAAGTTTTCATAGTTGTGCTTCCAGAGTGGCTCCATTGCTGTTCCAAAGTATTTCATTGAATAGACTTGATCATAGGATATCTGTAGCCACCTTTGTGATGGTTGTCCTGGTGTGATAGTACCAAAATCCCAAGCTATGGCTAACACTGGCCAGTTATCTTCACAAGCTCTTGGTTTATTCTATTAGATATCAAATGTTACTAAATGTCCTTATTATTACCTTGTCTTCAGATGGTAGAACTTTGCCTTTCATGAATGCAGTTCTTGTATCAACTGCAGGAGCCATTGTAGCAATCATTCCTCTATCAAGTATGGTGCTTACATACCAATAACCTATTTTATGTCATAAACCTTATACGATAATAGGTAATCGTTAATTCTTACCCCAATTAATACGGTCACTACCCTGTCCAAGATAATCCTAAAGATAATATCATAAAAACCTGATAGCGTTTATAACACATTATACTTGATCAGTTGTTCCAATTTTCATCGCTACCTGTCCAGGCATTAGTGATGCATAGTCCCATGTAACCATCTGTTTTGTATCACTTACAACACCCTAAGAAAACATAAGTGGTAGATCTAGTACTCATTATTTTATTATTACCTCAGCTGTGTTATCATAGTAGATTTTAACAGTGTGATTTGACACACCATCAATAGCCTCTACAGTATAAGTCAAGAAAGTAACTGGTAAAGTTGGAATTTTATCTGTTGCTGCAAAAGCTGGAGTTGAGAACTAATGCACAATAATGAGAACTATGGTATTATGGAACACTTAATTTATAACACTAACTGTTAATGTAAGCTGTATACCACTTTCCTGAAATACATACACTGTCTGAGTTGGATATACCTACTTATGATAGTAAATATTATTCACTTTATAAAGATTATTACAGTAAGGTTGACTTGAGTCATCACATCAGGTGCCAGATCTGTATCTTTAGCCATAAATCTTTAGATAATGAGACTATTTGCTCATACATGCATCTATAAATATTTACCTGTAGACTTTGCCATCAATGCTTATCATTCCTGAAAGACAGATAATAGGTCCACTCCAATGCTTAGGAAAATCATCATAAAGATGGTCGGCATCAGACCATATACTATAATGAAGGGAAATACATAATAATACACACTCACACACACAATCTACTTGTACCTAAGGTAAGGATTGACAACAACTAGTGGTACAGATGGAGGTCGAAAATTAGGTACAAGATGAGGTCCATCAGATTTAACAGATAAAACACAAGCAAGAAGACACAAAACAGCAAAGGTCACCATATTTACTGTTGTTATCAACAATGACCTTACACAGAATTAATTAGATTCATTCTTCAATGAATAATACTCAAGAATGCTAAAAATGATTGAGCATAAAAGTTAATAAAAAGTATGTTATTCTTTCTTTGACTTAGTTTTTAAACTGCTACATCTTTTAGTACAGCAGAATGCACAGCATTTTCTAATGCAGTACATAAGAATTGCCAGTACACTTAGCAATACAATCCATACATCAATATTGTAATACTGAATGAAACTCCACTTATAACGTAAAAAAGCAGGTAAATGATGCTCATACCCATATGCAGCATACAGCTCAACAAGATCAGCTCCTGTTTTGGCTCCACCAGCTGCCTTGTACAGACGACTGATTCTTTTTGCGTTATTTTGATAGAGGGATCCTTGAAGTAAATGAACGGCATCAGTTAGTGTTTTTTCACTGACCTCGTCTGGTTTTAGTGAGAAACCCAACTTTTGATGAGTTATTTGAAGGGCAATGCTATGCTGATCCATCCCAAATGGTACGCAAAGGACAGGGACTTGGTTATAGAGTGCCTCTTGGACTCCATTTATTCCACAGTGAAGTATAGCCACTTTGACAGAAGGATACTGGAGCATTTTAAACTGTGACAACCATGAGGTTAAATAGATACGGTCCTTGTCAATGTGTAATCCTGACAACACATGTTGATTGGATTCCCGCATTGACCATACAAGTCTATACTTGCTAGATAATGTAATAAAAGATTCTGCAAGTTCTTTAGTTATTATAGCAGTGGTTCCCATGCTAATAACAATTACAGAAGAGACTTTGTTATTATTATCCAGCCATTTTGAAAGAGAAGGGTCCAAGGGTGATGCATTAGGAGGGAACATTGGTCCAACATAGTGCTGTATTGGTAGCACTGGCTTAGGCCACTCAAAACCAATGACAGTATTGTAAAGAATCGGTTGATGTAGAGCTTCATTTAGGAAATTTATTGGTACATTAAGATCACTGTCAATAGCATTAGTCATAATAGATATCATGACTATCATGGCATACTCAACAGGAATATAAAGAGCAGTATTGAGCAGTCTATCAGTGAATGACATATCAGGAGTCAAAGGGGCTGATAGTCTTGGGTAAGGCCATGGAATGATAAACCGTGGAGTAAACTCGGCCAATATGATGAGGAACATTGTGTTATTAGCTTTTCGTGTGTTGCTCAAATAATGGAGTATTGGGTATGCTGCTTGCTCTACTATTATATAATCATACTCACTGACGTTAAGTGTTTTGAATGGAAGGATCGTTGATTCTGCATCTTTTAGAGTTTTCAGTATAAAATTAGTTAAATTTGCCATGAGCGTGACCCAGCTTTTGTCTCCATCATGTTTACCTGTTTCTTTAAACCCATCATACATTTCCTTTGACATATAGCTAATGTGTTTATAATTTATACCGTATGATTCAGCTAGAGTTGGAATGTGATCAAATCCTTCAACAACTGATCCAATGCAAGACACAGTATGACCTCTTGAGGCTAGTTCAGCTCCTAAAGACAACAGCGGGTAAATATGAGACGGGAACATTGAATGAACAAGCAGGATTGACAGGTCTTTCTTTTCATAATACTCTGAGTAGCCACTGGTGAAACATAGTAGCAAAATAAGACAAGAAGAACTGACAGAATAACCCAAGGACATGATGAATTGATTATTTTTAGGCATTCTGGCATTGAGCTACAAGCCCCACCCATCTTTAATAGTTAGATTCTTCTCAGTAAAAATTTAATAGGCTCTCTCATTGAAAATTCAAACACACGCACACACAAACACACATGCAATAATGCATTCTCAATTTTCTTCATTTTCTGCTTGCACCAGTGGCTGAACTTCACTGAAGCTACTAGTGGCTGTGGTATTTCTGTTCCTGTTTACATCTAATGTATTGTGACTTGGTTCATCACCAGTTTGCCCTTTTATTGGTGTATATTCATCTGGTACTAGTGAGCCATAGTAATTAATTTGCTCAAATCGATTCTCTTCATCAACATCAGCCATAAAAGTACTAAAGTTAAAATCTTCCGGATCACGATTGTCACTTGCATTCAAATTCTGGTTTTTAAAGGAACATCTCTTCTTGATTGCTTTAATAAGAAACCAAGCAATGTAGACAGTGAAATATATCAAAGGCAAGAAGATGAACAAAACGAGAGCAGAATAAAATGTGTTAGAAAGTGGACTGTTAATGCTCTCAAGATAATAATTGTAGAGTATGATTACATTGATGCAAGATAGGAGACTAAACATGACCAAATCCAGGACATTATACCAAAATTCCTTGTATGGCTGAAGTAAACCCAATAACAACAGAGCAATAGTAATAATAAACTGCTGTAAGACATATTGTAGTGGCCAACTGAGACCAATTGCATAAGTAAAAATGAGAGCCAGCTTAAAAAAGAAATAAAGAGCTGCATAGTAGCGTCGATCATGTTCCCCATTGCTACCATCTTTGAAGCACTGGTGAAAAGAATCTAAGAAAAGTTGTGTTTTAGCTCCAGGCTTTAATGGTTTCCAATTGAGCCTCTCCAAGCACATGTAAAAAGGCTTGATGGAATAAAGGAGCAGGATAGTTGGAAACAATGCACAAAGGATTAGGATGAATATAGATGTAAGCATATATGGTGCATAATTAAGAGAAAAGTATTTGAAATCACCATTAAACCAAGAGACTATTTCTTCATGTCCTGTATCATCGACCAATGTGTTAGGAAATAACAACTGACATGAAGTGACAGCAAATTTCACGTATGAAAGAATAAGAAATGTAGCAAAGGCATCCATTAGAGATCTTTGGAAATTTAGCCAACCAAGACACCTTGCTGTAGCTCTATGCAGAGGACGAACAATGCACACGATGAATCGATAGTCCTTATGGTAAAGATGTAAAAATAGGACCACAAGGCCTATCACTATAAGCGGGTAAAAAGCTGAAACAAATTGTAGTGCCATAACATGAAGGCTATGAACATTAGGTCCCAAACAGAATAACCATTCATTCACTTCGATTGCACTAAAAAAACTGAGATTCCAAAACGCATACAATGATACATATATCTGCTTGAGGACTGAAGCTGCAGGAGTTATAGATGGATAGTCAATGATTCCGTTAGCATCAATCCCGAATGTAGTCGAAATAATTTGTGCAAAGAATATGAATGCATTTGCAGGTCCAGATGTCACTGAAATGTTAAAGACAATAACAATGATGAGCATTATAGTTAAAGGAAGGTACTCAGCTAGCAAATAGAATGCCCAAGAATAGAAAATAGAGTCGGATGAACAAGGAATGCATTTGAGCTGGTTTGAATTGACAGCAACACTGTAGTTTGCTTTACAATGAGCACAAGTGACTCCTTCTCTGTTTAAATCCCCACAGAAAAACTCATTGAGATCATCAGATGATTCGGGTAAAGTTACAAAACTACTTCGATTCAGTTTATTATTCTGTGGACAATAAAAACACTGTCCAACCTTCAAGTTATTAGGAGACTCACTAGTCGGACCGATCCAGTAACCAAACTCAACGGATGCAGTAAAGTTGGTATGATGTCTAATATAAGGGAAATCTCCTCCTTGACAAACGTTACCTCTAATGACAAAACCAGGAGGACATTTTTCAAATGTTAAATCAATTTTTGTAGAGATGACTCGAGGGTGAATTGTTTTTAAAAACAGTTCTGCTTGATTGTCTTCATATGGATTACCATAATAAGACACATTTCTATTAGTGATATACTTTGTCTCTGCACCATAAGTGCTATTCCTATGAAGAGAGAAAACCAGGGACTTGCTTGGAACATGTTTCAACCTGTCATCAAGCATCATTAACGGAAGAGCACTTTCCTTACCAGGAATGACATTGATGCTATATGAATCTTTACACTGTGGATGGCCCTCACTGTTAGCAAAATATGCTGGGGAAGTAGCAATGACACCAGCGTCATTACAAGTGGTATTAGGCCCATAGTCCCATGCTTCTTGACTCCAGCAGAAAACTTCGTAATAACCTGTTTGTGGATCAACTAATTCCCCATGAGATTGGTCCCCCCATAAGCATCCTAATATTGTTGTAGCATATATGGCATGGCCAGATAAGTTAGCATGATTGCCATAAAAAAGGATCTTTATTTGCCACTGTGTAGGGTCAATGTTAGAATCAAAATAACGAATAAAGCAGTTACGAGATGATATCAATTGGTGATCACCAATGTTTTCCCAGTATAATCCACCACCATTAAGAAAAGCTCTATTGTGGCTAAAATTGATGGAAGTGTTAGTATTTAGCATGAGAAACGCTTTATTAAAGAGAGTCATTCCTCCTCCAGCTTGAGCTGAATTGTTTATGAAATGTGAAACAGAATCACTCTGAAACTCAACAGCTGCATCAAGGCTGGTTACAGCAGAGCCCAAATTACTAAAGAATCGTGTCTCATTTTGAAACTGAATCGGAACAGAGTCAGTATACAATGTTCCCATTCCAGCAGGCGTACTTGTATAATTAGTGTAATAAACTGAATTGAATTCGAATGTGCAAGTGGTAAACACTGGCCTCATTATCACTAATCCACTGTCACTTGACTCCAAATGCCAAATAGATAAATCAACAGCTGAGCCAAGCCGTGCAACATTTCGATGCCAAGCACAATTATCAAAATGTATACTATTCATTTGATAATTAGGGCTCTCTCTAAATGTCAAAAATGATGAGCCGCCTCCAAAATAAGCTCTGTTGTATGAGAATGTTGATTTTGTGAATAGGACAGAATTATTATGAATGTTGTGACCAATCCCAGCAAAGAGGACTCTAGTCCCACCTCCACCAGTCCCTTTATATGTGCATGATTCAAATGGGCATCGATTATAATGAAACACAGAGTTATTAACGACTATAGCATTATTAGTGGAACGGTCTTGAAATTCAATCAACAATCCACCTCCCCAAACTGCAGTATTATTATTAAATAAACAGTCGTTGATGTGTACAGGAATATTTGTTACATTTCCTTTAAACACAACAGACAATCCTCCTCCACGGCCTAAAGCTATATTGTCATTAGCTGAAGGTGATATGAAGAGATTACTAGTGACGTTTCCGATATTATGAGTGAATCGACAATCACTGAACTTGTACGATGCATCAGTGACACTACCATCTGTGTAGTTAAGAGGAATTGCAGAGCCACTAATATTAGTACACTGCATATCTCCTGGTATGCAGTAGACAAATTCTACAGATATACCACCTCCACCATAATCAGTACCAGATGGTGCATTATATGTGAAGCTTGAGTGTTTAATGATGTTAGTGCCAACAGTGCTGTAGAATACTACACCGACACCAGTGCTGTTACTCACTATTACACCATCAAAGTAAACATTTGAACAAAAGAGGATATACATAGCAGCTTGAAACAGCAGAAACTTTCCACCCGGACTGCTAGTGCTGTTGTGGTACATTCCACAACCATTAACTGTCAGATTGGAGAAATGAATATCATTAGAGTGCTTAAAACTAAACCCACTGCCTCTAGTACACTGCACTATTGTAGCATTGGTCTGAAGACCCATTAAACTAAAACTTGTTTTATAGTTTATTGCAGCTTTTAATGATAAAGTATGGTTACCTTCAGACAAGTGGACGAGGATTGAACTTTTAGTTTGTACCCTCTCTAGTACAAACGACAGCGTTTTACAAGGAACAGAACCATCCAAACAACTAGAAGAGTCGGTACCATTATCCAAATTAACATTAATTGGTGCTGCAACTTGTAAATCTAAGTGCAGTAGGATCAGAACGAAGATGAAAATTGACATGATGCTCCTCAACCTCAAAGAGTCTAAACCCCACCCTCTGGATAATAATAATTATTCATAATGTTGCACCTAAGCAAAAAATGTGTTGACATGTACAATATCTACATACATGTACATATTAGACTACTGTGTGACAATTATAAGTCTTTGAGTGCGAGTCTTATTTTATCTACAAAATATAATAACAATAATCATAATAATTTCGATAATACTTCCATAAGCTGTCTTTCAAATTCCTTTACTCTTTTTTTTGAAATTTGAAATAATCTCTTTAGATGATTCCTTTTTTCAAAATATTGTTTTTCAAACAACAGTAGTGTTTTGGGGAAAATATTTTCTGCTTGGGGATCATACCAGTAATACAAGCGAGCCATCTAAACAAAGAATAGAACCAAGATAGCTATAGCATTGCTCCAAGTCAGCTTACTTTAGGAGTAAAGATGAGCCCAAGAAACAGTGTTGCTTCAATAAGGAGTCCCAATCCAAACAGTGCTGAGTAGTTTGTGATGTACAGGAAGAGTAAACTTAATCACAAATCACAATCAGTAGTGCTATTATGATATTCTTTTCTTTACGTGGATGATTGCTCCTGTTTTGATTGACTCAATGAGGATTTTGACTTGAACAAAATGAGTGTGAAATAGCCAGTACCTGGAGCACACCTATATAACTCCTAGTTCCAGTTTGCTTATGGCACACATAGACATAATTTCATAATTTTCATTGTACTTTCCCCTTGTCCTAGAAAGTAAAAAGGAGGTTCACATTTAACTCATGTACATGTACACTCAGTACTTGTAATTACATCTATAACTTGAGAGTGTTTGCCATCTAAAGCTTGAAAACTGGTCAGCCTTGATTGAGAAAGAGTAGACCTTCTTCGAAAGTACATATTAATGAATTTTATTGATTAATAAAATATAATTATTAAGTAATATAATTATAATAGTACTTACCATCCATCATAAGTCCACAGTACTGAATATAAAGCTAAACTAATGTCACCAATAAAAGTGCTAGTACCTTCAAATACGTTATCAGAATTATTGGAATGATCTGCTGAACAAATGAAAGATATAGATTAGTACAGTTAATTACATGCATATCCACAATTATACCAGCTGACCTCCTTTAATGCATGTCCATATTCCAATAAACTAGATCATTGCTGATATTTTAGCAATACCAGTGATATTTATAATGTGAGCTGTTAGTTTTAAACTGAATAAATTGTATTTATTGATGTCGCTATTACTAGTAAAATAAAGAAAGGAAAGAGACAGTGAGAGAGAGAGCAAAATTATAATACATACATAAAGTATTGTACATGTATAAACCGAACTCACAATAATCAAAAAATAATTATTCAATAACAATGAATTCTACATTCTACACATGCACACATTAAACTCACTTTCACTTATTACAGCCAGTACTGTCACTAGTCCATTAGTAGCTCCGCCCCTAACTTCACCAACCAACAAAAGTGCATAAGAGAAATACTTACCAAAAGCTAACAACTGGATGGCATTAGATGCTGGACGTAATAAAACAATGGTCAACCAGCCGAACAAAAATCCAAGCAGGTTACCAAATACAACAAAAAACTATCTACTTTTCCCATCCTTAATTCTATGATCCTCTCTGTATCTTGTCTCCTCATCCCTAAGTCCCTCCTTGTCCCTTTCTCCTCTTCTATGAAAAGAATACATTTCTCTAAGATATGCATACCCCACCTGAAAGAGGTATCAATGTAGAGTCCTCTAGCTACAGCTACTAGACTACTAATAAGCCACAGTACTAGTGATAGACCAATTGATCCTGAATATTTGACAGTGTTACTGGCAGTGATTATATAGACCTGACCACAAAAGTAACAGAGTTAAATAATGATAGTTCTTTTTAGCCCTCCTCTCTCTCCTTCTCTTTCTCCTCCGCCTTTCCTGTCGTCCTGAGGTTCATCAAAGAGAAATAATACCCGGTCATCTCCCTCTTAGTCTTCTTTCTCGAAGAACTACTCATATTTTGATTGAAAATGACCCGCCACACCATTTATCTTTACACTCCACCTTGCCCACGGGCCACGTGTACGCACGTGGGTAAAATAACTTAGGCGTGGTCAAATGAGCCGTAGGGATAGCTGAGAGTACGAGTGTAGACCTCGCCACAGACACGACTTTTAAACTCATGAAGAAGACCTGTTTCTACTACTATTATCTACCCTCAGTGATCCAGAAACCTCCAACCGTCTAATTTAAAGATTGCCGCTTATGCCCGATTCGTTGTGATGACTTTAGCGGTAGTACTATGTTCCTTCAAATGCAGTCTACTTCAAATGAGACAAAGAGGAGCCTCACTGTCAGCGGGATGGTAATGCTGATGACCTTGATGTCAGATGGGTTAGTGTTTGGGTCTGATTGGGGCTACGATGTAGCTATAACTTGTGCATGCCATAAATTTTTGTGATATGTCTATGGGTCAATATAAACTGTCCAGTTTAGAAGTTTTGTACTAGTTAGTAGCTTCATGTAAAATGTATATTATCCACCAGATCCGTGTGAATGAGTGCATGATATTCATAGACTTTTTAATGATATTCATTTGGATACCGTAAATGAAAAAATTATTCTGGCCGCCATGTTGGGGGTATACTTTGTACAGTCTTCAATGGGGAAAAGGTGTTATTTTACCATTTTGCCAGCAGAGCAAAGGAGCTGCATCCAGAGACAAAAGATTCCAACTTTAATCTCCATTTCTTTACCACTGCAACAATTAAGAGCCTCTAAGTTACGTGGAAAAGCAGATCAGGCTGATTTTATCTTTTTGGCTGATCGGTTACTGTATAGTTTATATCCCCAAGATGGCTGCCAAGAAATTCTGTTGTTTTTATGGTATCTCTATGAATATCATTAATCTAGTTAATGGGGATCTGGTGGATATTTGTGTACAATGTACTGTATACAGCATATATTTTGCGGGGATAAAATTTCGTGATTTTCGCGTTTTTGAAAAAATTAGTGAAATTAAATAGAGGATATGCGTGCTAAGTATTCATTGCAAAATAAATGTATTCATTGCATACCCTAATAACTTTCAAGAAAAAATTAGTTCGTTGGACGTCAACTTTCCATTGGCAGCAATGGAGAAAAGATAGAAAAAGGCTTGGTACCAGGAAACCGCTCTGTATTTCTTGATAGCAATCTTTCAGGTGACTACTAGACCCCATTAGATCCTCAGGATGCTTTCTAAGCTTCCAAAAAAGGCCTCAAGAAGATAGCAAGGCAAGAAAATGTGTTTTTCCCTGTTGGACTCTCAATAAACTTGATATCCAACATGGCGGCCAATTTACTGTGTGGGTTGGATATAAGGTACTTAAAACTTATGAATATACTTAGCACGCATATCCTCTATTCCACAAAATAGCGTGCTGATGGTATAGTAGGTGTGGTAATTACATTAAAATTGCGAAACTTTTATTTACGAATACAAAAATGCAGCCAAATTGCGAGATTTTATACCCTCGAAATATATGGCGTAAACGGTATGTATTGTATAGACTAAGCCAAGGGGGAATTTCTGGAAAGTTTGAGGCATTAATTCCAAAGATAAAACCAAACCGTTTTAAACCATTGATTGTACGTATGCTTAAATTGGCATATGACCATAAATTTGCCAAAATTTCTCCCTTTACAATCACCAGTTACTTGTCATGTATATAATGCATACCTTATGTGTACATGAGTGACTAATTTTATGTGTGGGTATAATGTGTATTTTTGTAGAGTTCTGGTAATGAAACTGTGGCACTAGTTAAACATGATAAAACTGAGCCTGATGTTTTACTATAGCAGCACCAGACTGGTGAGTATATTGTATGTGTAATGTAATGTGTACCATCTTACTGTTCTTTCTCTTTCTTCCTAATATCTCTCTCTCTATCCTTCTCTTGATTTATTTCTAGAACACATTTACATTTACATTTATATAGAAGTATGTTTGATATTTACACTATAAACACGGTAACGCACTATTCCATTTTATTTTATTTGTTTATTTATTAATTTATTTTATTTATTTATGGTTTATTAGATTGATTATGAGGTGACACAATTTAAAAGAAGTAAGTGAAATTGAAACTTAGAATATCCGAAAATCATTATCCTATACCTCCTTCCCTCCCTCTTTCTCTCTCTCTTTCTCTCCCTCTCTCCCTGTCTTTCAGTGCATGAGTTAGAGGGGTTACAAGATAGACTCAGTACAAGACCTGATGTGTTTGATGATGTTGAAGCAGAACACAACGTTGACATATTAACTGCTGAAATATCTTAAGTAATGACCAGTGATGCATGTACTGTACATGTATTTTAATAGAAAGCTCAATTCAGCCATTTTAAAATATACTATACATGTAGTTGTTATAATTATTATAATATTTTTCTCTCAGATGCTCAGTAGGGCTAAGCAAGGATTAGCAGACAGCTAAAATGGATCAGATCAAGAAAAGAAATTTTCTAAAAATGTTGTATCATCGCTAGCAATCACACTGCAAGATCTTTCAGTGGATTTCACAATTATCTTATTTTAAAAGTAAGAGAAACAGAGGGGAAGAGTTTTAGATGATCATAATTTGAAAATTTGAGGGTCAAACTTTCTAGGACATCAATGTGGGGTGATTCTGGAGCCATTTTTGAAAAAGCATGGACACAGAAATTTTCAAAAATTGGCCCATTTTTTAAAATGGTCATAATTTGAAAATTTGAACTGAGCTTGAGATTAATTCAAACTTTCTACACAGCATAAGGACACAATAATTATCAGTGAAGGGATTTTTTTGAAAAAACCACGGGCTTTAAGCCTTGGGTATTTTTCAAATCAGCCATTTCTAAAAACGGCTGTAACTTGAAAGATTGAAGTTGGAATCTGCTCAAACTTTCTACATAGCATAAGGGTATCAATATTATGCATCAGAAAATGTAATAAAATTTTGCGGTGATTTTGGAGGCATTTTTTGAAAAAACTATGGGCTATAGCACAGGGTATCATTTTTAAAAAATGTCCATAACAGCATATCTCCAAAAATACAAGTGTACATGTACATGTATGTGTATATGTAATGTGAATATTTCTTAATATCCTTCTCTGTCTTTCTCTTCATTAGCAAGAACAAGAGCCCATATACAGCAGAGGATACAACAAGTAGTTCATGAAGTGAAGACAAAGTCATCAAAAGTCAAACAGAAAGTATTAATGAACGCCAGCAGACAATCGAGGGAAGCACTAATGCACAATCAAACTCAAAAGAAGTAAAGAAAGAGAGAGAGAGAGAGGGGGGGGAAGAGAGAGAATAAGAATTCTTCAAGTATGTATTAGAGTGTAGCCTCTATATAATGGACAGTTTGGTACAAAAAAGTTGCTCTGTTATACAGAAGTGTCCTTTACAGTAAGGAATGTAATCGGTACACTAGGTGCTGTCCGTTAAATGGAGGTGTACGCTATAGAGAGTGCCCATTAAGAGAGGCTATATTGGCATTTAATTTATTTTGATTTTCCCCCTCTCTCTCTCTCTCTCATAGACTTGTTGGAATTGTGGTAGGAAGGCTGCAGTGGTGCAGTAAAGCAAGATACTGTGGTAATTACTGCCAACATAAGACTAGGACAGACACCTTAAGCATTGTTCAACGTACGTCATTATCATCTTCTAATAATAGTAACACATCTGGTGTAATAGGACGTGCCACTATTTGTAACAGATCAGGTAATTACATGTACATGTATGATATAATTTATTATTTTTATTATTTTTAGGTAGTAGAGGTCACATTTCAATAACTCGTCAACACTCAAACAGGACCGCACCCTTAAGCCTCACCTCAACCATCACATGTCCACTGACCACTCATTAATCACAGTACCTACTACAAATCTTCGTTTAGTTAATTAAACCTACTTGGGCCACACCCAAAATGACCACACCCACCACTTACATTACTAGAGGCTTCGGTTCCTTGTCCATCTTCATCCTGATCTGCTCATTAATGGGACACTAACTGGTACCTCTAACAGTGTTGCCATGGTAACTATTAACTGTTTGTCGGTTGACCTTTCAGGATATTTCCTTGATAAATATACTTTTAAATTTTTTAATTGTTGTTGTTATTGTTTCTTTTTACTCACTCACTATCATCACCATTTATCTCAGTCTCTATCTGTCATCCTCCTGCTCCCTCTCTCTCTTTAAATTCTCTTTTTTCCTCATTTTCTTTTTCCTTTTTTTCTCATTTTCAGGCTTTTATTCTCATTAAAATTTTTAATTTGTTAATAGTTAATATTATTATACATTCAAGTAGTCTGGTATGCATGTTCCACCTCAACTTCCAAAAGGAAATAAGATACCGGTATTGTGATAAAGGTACTCCTTTTGGCTGTACTGTCTGCTGGTTGGTATTATGTCACAATGTTAGAGTAAATTATAATAGCTCTACTATTAGTGGTGAAGATGACTTACAAGTGGTGTACTAGTGTGTAACAAAGGAGCCTCATCAGTCATTACTGATAAAATAATACTATTTTTAGCATTAGATCACATGAGTGTTGTTATAGCAGCCCTGGATTTTCTTTATCTTGCATTCTTCAATTTCGGTTATAGCCATTCAAACGAATGTTATAGCTTTTTTAAAGGTTTTGTCCTTTCTTTATTGTGGTGTAAGTAATCACTGAAATAGGTACACCTCAAGTTACCTATAATTTTCTCATTGTCCTCCGCACTGTAGTACAAGATGATTGATGTCTCTCAATGGAGGGCAAGTATTGGACTGTGGAACTACTGTCAAGCTGCCTCCAGTAGACCAGCTAATGGTTACCACTCTCACTCATTCAAAGCTGCAGTAGACAACAAATCAGGCAGTACTACTTCTAGATTTAAACTGCTGGCAGCTCTGTCTCTTATTATTTCCCTTCTTTTATCTTTATTAAGATATATGAAGCTCAATTTTATTCCTCCAACTGGTAAACAAGCTAATAGTATATAATATTATCATACAGTGTATTTACAATAGGTATAATTACTGTTACTGTTATGATCCACTGCTTCCAGTCATTAGCCTTGTTTATAGCTACTACTGGCAGTAGCTCTGACCTGATCTACTATTTGGTTTTACTTTTCCTCCTCCTCTTATCAGGAGATGTTGAACTCAATCCTGGTCCTATGATTGATGATCAACCTGATATTTTCCTATTGCTTCAATGGCTTGAGCCACTTGTTGACTGGAAACCATTTGGTCTTCTCTTACCTGAAATAACACAACATGATATTACAATAATTGAACAAGTGGATACTAAACATCAAAAACTAGCTTTATTTACAAAATGGTTGAATACAGATCCTACAGCAACATGGAGAGATGTACTCAATGCATTGACTAAAAGAGAAGAGATCAATTTAATACAAACTATTAATAATCTGTTACAAGTAGATCTACATATTTGTACAGGAGGTATAATCATTATTTTATTTTAATAATTATATTAAATGAATAATAGGTAATAATGATGCTCCTGTTTCTAGTATTGCACCAGTAGTATCTACTGTATTATCATCAGTTTCTGTAATTAATAAACTTGTTACTAGTATTACATCAGGTAAGCATACAGTTAATATGACACTCATTATAACTGATACACTACTACAGGTAATCCAAAAGATATATTAAGGACTCATTCATATAAATTAGGTCATGCTATTAGTGTGAATCTATACAATGTAACTGATGCACTGTATGCTAAAGAATTGATACCACAACAGACTAAAGAAGCTATGCATGTATCAGGAGTAACCGATAATGAGAAATCTAGTAAAATTATGCTAATCATTGAGCAATTGTTGGAATCCTCTCCTAATCCAGAGCAGTATCTTATCGATATATGTCATGTATTAATAAACCAACATTGTACACTAACAGATATTGCTATCTCTATACTACACGAGTTAGGTGAGTGTGTGTGTGTGTGTGTCAGTGATATAATTATCTTAATACATTAGGTCAGTCTATACCTGATAATGTCAGTTTGGATACTGTACTACCATCACCAGTTGATGATAAATCCAAAACACCAGTTACTATTGTAAAATGTAATAGATCATTTTATGTGTATACATTGTTTTTTTATGTATCTAATTAATCAATAGGTCAGTCTGATGTAGCTAAACCCATTAGTTCAATACCAAATGATGTTCAGGGATATGCTGACAGTATGAGAGAATACTACAAATCCCAATCTATTGTTGCTAGATCTACATCAGATTGGCTACCAAAAATTGGAAAAGAATTTTTTGGAAAATTAGCATTAGTAGAAAAACAAGACTCTAGCACACAAGCAGAATCAGCTTGGCATATGCTAAGAGGACTAGTTGATAAAACAGTTAAACTAACTGAAAACAAAGAGATAAGTGTTGAAGATATTCTAAAACCCACAGAGAGTTCTCTATCTCTCAGAGTAGTAATAGATGGTCCTCCTGGTATTGGCAAGACCACACTCTGTCGTAAACTTTTAAATATGTGGTCTAATGGAACACTTGTACACCAGCAGTATGACTTGGTACTTTACTGTCCTTTAAGAGAAGCCAAGATAGCTACAGATACTACAGAACTAGCTGACCTGTTTGTGCATAGATATTATGAAGTTCCCATGGTAGCTGAATGGTTTGAGAAGAGGAATGGGGAAGGATTACTGATAATCTTTGATGGCTGGGATGAACTAAGTGAGCAACTCAGACAGTCTTCATTAGCTGCTAGCATCATTCATAGAAAGTGGTTACCCAAATGTTCAGTAATTGTTACCTCTCGTAGCTATGCCTCCTCTTCACTTTTGAAGATGGATACTCTCAGTAGACATGTTCAGGTCATTGGGTTTTCTGAGGAAGAAATATCAACAGTAATTATACAAGCACTTGAAAAAGATACAGAACTAGCACAAAAAATTGTTAATGATCTCAAAGTACGAAAGGCTGTCCAATCATTGTGTTATGTACCACTAGTCTGTTCCATGGTCATTTTAGTTTATCATGAGGAAGGAGGACGCCTACCTACAACACTCACTCTCACTCAACTGTATGAGAACTTTATCCTACAAACTATCAGCAGACATGTTGAAATAAAAGGCAGACATGACATTGACCCGCATGATTTAGGTAGTCTTTCTTCATTACCATTACAGTTAGCTAAACCTTTACAAGAGATGTGTCAAATAGCTTATACTAACCTGGCTAATACAACAATGACATTCTCTTCACATCAACTACCATCACCAAGTGAGGCAGTCAAGGAAGACTATCTTGGATTGATGACAGCATTCATAGAATATCGTGAGAAGAAGTATCAGTTCCTTCACTGGAGTATACAGGATTTTCTAGCTGCATGGTGGATAGTTAAGCACGAAAAGACAGAAAAAGTGTTTAAGGATCACTTCGATCATGATCACTTTCAAATGTGTCTGATATTTGTAGCAGGCCTAACTCACCTTGAACATGAGAGCTATCAACAGTATTTTTTTAATAAACAGCAACATGACTTACAGTGTAAAAAGAAGCCATTGTTTGGATTTGACACTTGCTATACTTCCTTTTATCAGAATCCTGAGGTTAGAGAATATGATCATATCAGTTTTAGTGATTTTGGCAATGTTCCTATTCTTCTTTTTCAACTCCTGTATGAATCACAGAACAAAACATTATGTCAAGTATTAGCACAATCCATCAACAAGCACTCACTGTGTCTGAATAGTGAATCATTATCATTATATGACTGGTTGTGTCTCAGTTATTGTATAAACAATTCCAACATAAAATGGGATCACTTGCACCTGGGGTGTGTATTTAACCAGTCACTATCAGTCTTTAATACTGGACTTAGTCCAGTAGTGAAGAATAATAGTGGACTAACCGATAACTCACTACAGACCCAGTGTAAGAGACTTGAGTTACGTCGATGGCTCTATGATCCTACTGATGAATTAATACACAAGTTATTACAATCATCACTTCTATACAATATTCAGGAGTGCTACTGTGGATTAAAGTCAGGTCAATATGTTCCCTGCTTTGTATTGTTACAGTTTCTCAATCTTCCTCAATTGAAGATACTTCATTTAATAATGAGACAACCTAGATCTACTATACCAACATTTGACAATACATACTACACATGCAAGTGCACTAAACTTGAGACATGTATAGAAATGAATTTATTGCTACAAGAAATGAAGATTGAGTATAAAGGAGAGAAAGAAATATCAAGTACCATTATCAGTGTCATTAGAGGAGTAACAAAAAACAAAACAATAGTATCGTTAATGATACATGTACATGTTCCTTTAGCTCCTCCTTCTCCTCTACAAGATGGAGTAATAGAGCAGTTACTAAAGGGCAACAACACATTACAAGCTCTTTCACTGAACATAGATGATGAGCTCATACCATCATCACTAAATATAGTAGAGGTGAACACGCCACTGACTGCTCTAGAGATAGGAGGAGAAAAGAAGAGTAGTGAACTGATGACAGCACTCCTTCTATATATCCAAGGATTACACTGTCTGATACTAGATGAACCATACCCACCACATCTTCTATTTGACTCTCATCCTAGTCTACATACACTTACTTTACCACTAGACACAGCTGAGAGTGCTATTGAACTATTTAATATTCTACAAACCAAGGCTACACTTAAAGCTCTGGATGTGGAGATAAAGGAAGAGAGAGTATGTACCCGCAATGTAGATGATAGTCTACAAGATATGCTAACACAAAACCAAGCTCTGAAATACATTAAAATTAATGACTGGTACAGTGACTGGTACATACCTATTCCCAGTTCATTCCTGTCCTTCCTAACAACTGGTCTCAGACACAACACAAGTCTACAGCAGTTGAGTGTATCCATTCCACTTCCAGTGAATGAAGAGATAAGAACTTTTATTAATGTCATATCTGAAAAGAAAAATCTCGTAGAACTTGAAGTGAACTTCAAACCAGATCAGTCATGCAATTACTGTTGTAGGGAAGAGGGGAAACAAATAATAACGTCATTTTTTTATGAACAGGTACTACCTGCTGTTACTAACATGTTGCAGTCACATGCAACCATCAGACTACTGAGGATAAAATGTAAAGATATTAACAAAAAGATCTTTCAACCTAACTGGATAGAACTAGTACAACATTTATATGAAACTATCTTCATCCATCCAGCGCTTGAATATATTGGGATTTATACTGGATACCCTGCTCCTCGTCTCCTGAAAGATACTCTTAAAGATCAAAAGGAAACATTGATTGATAGACACAGAAAAGAGCAACCATGTAAACCGCTACCAATAGTGCATATGTAACATGCACACAGTACATATTTAAGTACAAAATGAGTGCATTATATATTCTTGATATAAATAATAATAGCAATAATGATTTAGGTGATTTGCTGTTTTCTTTATTCTTCAACTTACTTTATTATTTTGTTTTCTTTTTTGGATTCCTAGTCTCGCATACTCTTGATTTTAGCTTTATGATTATTTTGGCTTTGTGTTTTTTTGTAATTTTTAGTATTTTGTTTGCATATGTGATTACTAGGTTTTTGTCATTTTTTCAAATGTTTAAAAAAACTGATGATAGTTAAGTGCATTAATACAAATTGTACTTTAATAAAGTGAATTAATATCATTAAATTATCCCTTTTCTTTTCTTCACAACTTTAACAATTATAAAACTAACAACAGCCCCTACTATTATAACTATATTAATACTATTATAATAAGTAATTTTTTTATGCTTCTAAGCGTAAGATGAAGAAACGAGGAAGAGAGGGACAATGAATGTTAATGCAGTTGAAGAAAACAAGGAGAGTGGTAAATAAAGTAACTTAAAAACTTTTGAGGACAAAAACATTCATGAATTAAGTGGTTTTGTCCTGGAATGCTGTACAAAAGTTTTATACATGTAACTGGGTCTGTCATTATAATGCTTCATGTGTGTATTGCATTTGTACTTGTATATGTATAAATTTTCCATCATCAAAATTTTTTGAACTACATGTACATGTACATGCATGTACATATACAAAATTAATCTCATTCACTACCTTTTCTAGTTGTTTGACACCTTCAGTGACTTTATGAAGTGTCCTCTTGACATTGTATTCAATCCCATCAAATATTGTACCTTATAATTGACGATAAGAGTAGACTAATAATAATATTAATAATAATAATAATAATTTCAGCAACAAAAATTTAAGCTTCCACCATCTCTCCTTTTTTTCTCCTATTTTTCTATCCTGTTCCACTACCATTTTTGCTAGGTCTTTATACATTTCATTTATTTCAGATATTACTACTGATACTATTTTTCTCTATTATTGTTCTATTCAGTTCAGAATTATCCTCCAACTGTGACAATTGACCTGATATAAAACTGAAAGAATGAGAGAGAGAGAGAGAAAGGGGGGGAGGTTTCATAATGAGTACATGCAGTATACATGTGTGTACATGTAGCTTTAAAATTAGTATATATGCATTAATATTAACCCTTATTGTACCTTTATCTAATATCCAACTACATTCCTCTGATGCTGCATGGTTATGGTGGCAAGTCATTGTTTACTATAGAAGAAAAGGAAAGAGAAGAAACAAATCAAAAGATTGATGATGAGGTAATGACCCATGTACATGTTGTACATTGTACACATGTAAATTGTAAATGTATTATTATGTGCATCACTTTTAGTGCAAACTCACTCTCTCCCTTTTCTCTTTACTCTTCTTGTATTAGGTAAAAACTGATCCATGGATCCTGTTCCTGTTGCTCCATGCATGTTAGTACAGTAATGTTAATATAATTATTAATTATTTGTTCTTCCTCTTTTTATCGACAAAATAACATCATCATTTAGTGATTCACAATTTTGCTTTTTTTCAGAAAATTGGCTCATTCTTTGAAAAACTCATAATATTAAAAATATTTTGTTGGAATCTGCCCAAACTTTGTATAGCATAAGGACATCAATATGTATCAAAAAAATTTAATGTACTAAAAATTTTGAGTGATTTCAGAGCCAATGTAGCCTTTGATTTTCCAAATATTATCTTGTTTTTATAAATGGTAAAACTCAAAAAATTTTTGACAGAAACACAATGTCAATATACATGTAGATTAGAAATTTAACAAAAGCTTTGGATTAAAAAACCAATAGCTATAGCCTTTGCTTCTTTCAAAAATTGACTCATTTTTGAAATAGTCATAACTTGAAAAAAATTTGTCTGAAACAGCTCAAACTTTAAGCATAGCATAAAAAAGAAAATCAATGTACATCAGAAAATGAATAAAAATTTTGGGTGATTCTGGAATAAATTTTTGAAAAATCCATGGGCATACCCTTTGCTTTTTTCAAAAATGGCTTGTGTTTAAAATTGGTCATAACTTAAAAATTATTTGTCAGAATCAGTTCAAACTTTGTACATGGCATAAGGACATCATTATGCATCAGAAAATATTATTAAAAGTTTGAGTGATTTTAGAGCCCATTTTCAGAAAAACCTTGGGCTATAATAGCCTCCAGGCTAACCTTGCTGATATTATAAGCTATCAATATAACTAACTATTGGTGTTATTTTCTTAGTAGCAAACAGCAAAAAGTAATGCAGTTTACTAGACTAATTCTTCATAGCAGTTAAAAGTCTAGCATAAAGGCCACCAATTACTGGGCGAGCTGTGAATCCTTGTCGATGAGCAGTATCAACAGCATACCTTTAAATTAATAATAATGATTGTTATTAGATTAATTATACCAACCAATCAGTGAATGGAGACCTATCTGGTGTTTCATTAGCAAACTTGTACACAGCAGAGGTTATAGAGTTAAACTGATACAGTGTCTATTATGAATCTCGTACATTAATATCTAATTGTACCTGATCATCAGAAGCCATTGCAGCAGTCCACATGAGCCAATCAGTTTTAGTATACAAATGACGATCATCCATTGGTATGCCATACTATTGTAAAATCAACAAGTCTCATGATTACTGTAGCAGTAATAAATATAGATCTACCATATTCATTTTGGTCATGTAATAATTCAGTTCTAGATCAAACACTGATTGTGGAAAAATGTCCAACTTTAGAATTTTCTGTCATTGCAAAAAATAATAATGTATAGATAAATATATAAATACAGTTTATACCTGAAATACAAGATTGTACTTGAGCGACCATGAACCAGGTAAGTCATATTGACGCTTGTAGTGATCCCCATCCTATAAGGACAATATTAAAATCCATATAATTCACATAAAAATCCATATGCCTTTCTCACCAGTCCATTAGTTGTCCAGTATTGTAAGAATTGAGTATCAGCAGTGTCATACTTCTCAGCTGATGCAGTGTCTCCTTTCATTCTTAGCAATTGAGAGTATGCTCCAAGAGCTACCATACCCTACCAAACACACAATAACTATTATGTAGAGTATACTTAAATTAGTCTTACTTTAGCAGCTAAGTTCATATTATGAGGTGATGGCCCCTCAAAGTCATCAGTACACAATTGGTTACCAGGATCAGGGAGACTAGCTACAATGAAGTCAGCCCATATTGTTAATAGGGGCCAGTATGGATCAAGGAAAGTCAAGTTTTTTGTCTGAAGAACAACACCAGCTATCATTAGTAACTAAATAAAACAAACTTCACAGACTATATCAAATCAGCTCAGAGAAATTACTATAATTCAAGCCTATGGTAATTTTTTAAGATTTAAGGTATAGTAATACTAGTAGTATAGCAACTGGAAATTTTAGTTGGAGTTTGTTGGAAATTTTAATCTCATATTTTAAAGCTATAAGTATTCAAAGGCTTGCAGACAAAAATTGTCATGACTAACCATGTCACCAGATGCTTCTACTGGCATTTGTTCTTCATTGTTTGGCTCTAAATCACATACTAAAAGATTATGACAGATAATATTGTGTGTATAAATGCTGCCTAACCTGGCCAATGGCCTAAATGATGAGGTGCCTAAAAAATTACAAAAAATGATAGCAAAATCAAAAATACAGCTAGCTTTACCCATTCCAAATTGTAAGGTATGTCTAGTCCATATTTTTTTGTGCCATTGTTAGCATAATTGAGCAGAGGAAGCAGCATTAACTGAAGGGCCTATTGTAAAATTAAAAAGGACACATAAATAGGCACTTTTGTAAATTCAAAACCTCAGGGAGATCCCATAGGAAAAGAGGAGCAACAGGAAATATTACATCAACCTAGAAAAACTCAAATTTAATTGAGTTTTTATGAGAGACTTACAGTGTTTGTAGCACCACCACTTGATATTTCTTTCAAAAACACCCATGGCTCATTTGTAACATTATTCCAAACAGCAATAGTACCTCCTATTGCTTGTCTAACACCAATAAAACAATAAGTCAATGATCCATAGCAGTCTACCTCCAAGCTAATGATGAAATTGTGGCATAATTTTGTCCCCCAACACTATATAATGCTTCAATAATTTCAGCATCTTTGTCATCACATGCCTGCAATGATTAGATGGACAGTAACCAACAATTTAAAAGTACCTTTTTCAGTGTCTCGTATTCTGAATTTCGTATAAGGCCAGTAAAGTTTTCATAGTTGTGCTTCCAGAGTGGCTCCATTGCTGTTCCAAAGTATTTCATTGAATAGACTTGATCATAGGATATCTGTAGCCACCTTTGTGATGGTTGTCCTGGTGTGATAGTACCAAAATCCCAAGCTATGGCTAACACTGGCCAGTTATCTTGACAAGCTCTTGGTTTATTCTATTAGATATCAAATACTATTAAAATGTCTTTATTATTACCTTGTCTTCGGGTGGTAGAACTTTGCCTTCTATAAATGCAGTTCTTGTATCAACTGCAGGAGCCATTGTAGCAATCACTCCTCTATCAAGTATGGTGCTTACATACCAATAACCTGTTTAAGCCACAGTAATTGTAATATTTTTATTCCTTACCCCAATTAATACGGTCACTATCCTGTCCAAAATAATCCTAAAGAATTTGTGCATCAAGGTATTACAAATAAAATAACACATACTTGCTCAGTTGTTCCCATTCTCATTGCTATCTGTCCACGCATTAGTGGTGCATGCTCCCAAATAACCATCTGTTTTGTATCACTTACAACACCCTAAGGACAAATTAAAGTAGATCTAGAGAGCTTATTACCTCAGCTGTGTTATCATAGTAGATTTTAATAGTGTGATTTGACAAACCATCAATAGCCTCTACAGTATAAGTCAAGAAAGTAATTGGTAAAGTTGGAATTTTATCTGTTGCTGCAAAAGCTGGAGTTGAAAACTAATATAAAAATTGAGAACTGTTATGGAACATTCTATAATACTAACTGTTAGTGTAAGCTGTATACCACTTTCCTGAAATACATACACTGTCTGAGTTGGATATACCTACTTATGCTAGCAAGTAATAGTTCACTTTATAAAAAAAAACTATTACAGTAAGGTTGACTTGAGTCATTACATCAGGTGCCAGATCTGTATCTTTAGCCATAAACCTTTTAATTAAATAAAGAGACTATTTTTGCTCATACATGCATCTATAAATATTTACCTGTATACTTTGCCATCAATGCTTATCATTCCTGAAAGACAGATAACAGGTCCACTCCAATGCTTAGGAAAATCATCATAAAGATGATCAGCATCAGACCATATACTAATGAAGGGAAGTACACAATAATACACACACACACAATCTACTTGTACCTGAGATAAGGATTGACAACAACTAGTGGTACAGATGGAGGTCGGAAGTTAGGTACAAGATGAGGTCCATCAAATTTAGCAGATAAAACACAAGCAAGAAGACATAAAACAGCAAAGGTCACCATATTTTTACTGTTTATGTAAAAATCACAGTAACCATAAATGGAAGTGATTAAATTCATTTTTATTCAATGAATACACTGTTTAAATGTTCAAAATAAAATTATTTAACTTCCTTTAATTTTTAGTTTAAACTATTGGGCTGAAACTAAATGTTACATAGATTTTGTACATAAACTTATGAGTGCAATCATGGAACCACTTTCAATACATACAGACAAACAGCAGAGAGAGGCAATGCAAAATTTATACGGTAGTTAAAAGTCTAGCAAAAGACCATCAAATACTGGGTGGGCTGTGAATCCTTGTTGATGAGCAGTATCAAGAGCATAAATAGATTTATGTATTATGTCATTTGTCATTAAATGCCCATGTATAATGTGGCTTTGATACCACCTTATTTTGGTGGATGGCAGGCTGACACAACATCTGATTTCCTCAATTCTTTTGTTTGGTGTATGTTGTAGGCATGCTGTTGACTTTCACAGTTTTATAATAATAATAATAATAATAATAAATATACATCTAATGAAAAACACAAATAGCTAACAAACGCACTCACTCACAATGACTACTTTACCCTCACTTCATGCTTACACTCAGCTATGGTAACTATAGCAAGCAATGTTAACTTAGTTAAGGCATTCAAAATAAATTATTATCAACCAATTACGTGCCTTCTCTTCAAACTTGCTACCTTTGACATATCATCTAACAATCCTCCCACAGTAGTCTACCACAAGCTAGACCATTGTAACAACCAGTAGCCAAGTATTTCTAGATCTCCTCTACGTGATGGATCTATAACAAAAATTGATCAATATAAAGTAGGGATTTTATTACAATGAGGCTTACTAGCTCTATGTGCATCAATGCTTGTAAAAGGAAGAGTGCCATAACAATATCCGTATGGCTTGTGACCACCTTCAAAATACCGGTATGAAAAAATGATCCATAATCTACCAAGTATACCTGAAAATAAAATGTAACAGATAATTAGACACAACAGCAAGAAAAGAAAATATGCAAAATTGAAGATTCTCTCCAAGCCATTTTTGACAAAATTCTATATTATATATACATGTACGTGTATAGTACAGGATCCTTGGCCTAATTTTTGAGTAACTTTGAAAACTCATAAAAAACTTTGGCCAGATTTCTAAGGGACTTTTAAAACTTTTTTGGCAAAAATCAAATTTTGATTGGAATCAAGTCCCACTTACTAAACAACGTGAACATAATGAATCAGAAAAATATAACATAAAAAATAGAGAACTCTCAGCCATTATTAATGAAGTACTATACATAGTACAGGGTCAATGACAAATTTGCAAAATAATTTTAGACTAAAAGAACAGCAATGAAAGGAGAAAGAAAGTTCATACCTAATCTTTTTGGGAATATCCAGTAAGTATGTTAGCGCTTTTAATATCTGCATGAGCAAACCGTGAATTACGCATATACTCAAGTGCCTCTAACTTTAGAGAGAGAGAGGAAGGAAAGAGACAAAGTAAAGAGATGGATGGTCAAAGATAATTACAATAATAATTCACTTACTATTCTTAATGCCAGATAGCAAATAGTCTTTACTCCAAACTTTCTCCCGGCTTCTTTAGATAGCTTTTCAATATTGTCTCTAATCTCTCCATTACAAGAAAGCGATACTGCAAAGACGGGGAAGTCTCATTCTTTCCCCCATCAATGAACTGAGGTACTGCAAAATATTTTAATCATGAGACTCCACTGAATCATTTACTGTTAGTAGTAAAATAAATAAAAAATACATACAATAAAAAGCATTCCTCACTCTTATTTGAATGGCCTACTTCTGCGTAACACCTTATTTCCAAATTTAATCATCCATTGTTTATTGGCTGCTGTTTTAATAGAAAAAACAATTTAATTACAAACATAAATCAGGAAACTCATGCGGTAGAAATTTCCGTGTTTAAAAATTGTGTCTGTGATCTAATTTTTACATAATATACTATGTACATGTATGTTCAAATTTTTGAGGGTTGAAAGTTTTGTGTTTTAAATAAAATGTGCTAAAAAATTAATATTTGCATGACAATAGAGCCAAGATGCTCCCTTGAATTTCTAGAATGGGGTGTGCCACAAAGTTCCTCCTGACAGTGGCACTGACAAATGGACACTTCATTGCACATCATTATAATAATTTCCCAAATGCAAAGTTTGCAATTACTATAGACCAGTTGGCGCTAAGTGTATTGATAAAATTTTAAGTGTATTATTCATCATGATACTGTAGATAAAGTAAAATTTTCCTGCCATCTTTATAAAGCCATAGTTTACTAAGAGTAGAATGGGAGAAAGCGATATCTTTGCTTCTATATGTCCTAATGGCCTTTAAAAGTAACAAGATTGCTGTCACAAATACAGCAGTTTTTGGAAAATAAGCTCTTTTCCCGATTGCTCCACTGCTCCATAGACAAACATTGCACTAGGACTCGAAAATTATGGCAGAAAAATTTGACTGTATATTTATAGTATCATGATGGTGAGTGTAATATTTTGGCAATTTGCCTGTAGAAAGTTAATTAGCTCAAATTGAAGCAATATGGCAGATTTTATATTGGCAATTTGTTCATAAAACTGTCAATTGGCAATATCAATTCCTTGCCAATAAATCATGCTGTACTGTACTTACAACTCTATGAATCATACTAAGTGCCAGCTGGTCTGTAGATCTCGTATTCATTAGGTTTACCAAACTACCACTTTAATGGCGTAACTGCCTGAGAATTTTGCAGCTGTTGAAGATGCTTCATAAACTTCTCCACAAACTCCTTTCCCTGTTGACTTTCCTAGCCTCCACTTTCCCATAGTAAAGCTCCCAGACTACTCCCAGAGAGGATTGTACCCTCTGGCAATGGAGGCACCGGCACCGAGTGCCATAGTGAAACTAGAGGATTAGATGCCTTCTTCTTAGTTCCAGCTTTCTTTTTTATTATCCCGGGGTGGACCAGGCATTATGTAAAATTTGTTCACAAACTAGCTAGCCTAGACCACATAGAAGTGCACGTGTTATCATGTGGTCGCTTTGGATTGCCACGCCTTACAGTTAGTGAACAGCAAACAAAAAATCAGAGCCTGACTCGGCCTGACTCTCGGACTAGCTCAAGTCAAGCCACTGAGAGACTAAAAAGGTAATTAAGATTATGATTATGAATGGGTTGGCAGGTAGGGGCTTAAGAATTTTTTTAAAATATGAAAATGGAAATTTTCTCACGGCCAGTTTTGACTCAATTCCTGATTTTTGAGTCATAAAAATCTATATTTGATCAGAATCAGCTCAAAGTTGGTATAAAAGTTATACAACATAAGTACAAAGTAGATCAAGCGGGAAAAACTACTTTTCATTTTTGGCATGTAGCATACTAGATAGTCTTGTCCCACCCCTTTGCTACTTGTGGAGGAAGGGTTTTGGCTCAATTTTTGAGTAACTTATAAAACTTGTAAAAAATCAAATCTGATTGAAGTTAGCTCAAACTTTCTATGCAACGTGTATAAGAACATGTATATGCATCAGAAAAATTAAAAATTCTCTACTTTTCACTTTTGGCACATTTTGACTGAAATCCCTGTACTAGTCTGGTCATGCTGTGACCAGACTATCACTGTACTGTTTTTGAGCCAAAGCCTCATGTATAACTCATACTGTCTTGATTTCGCATTTAAAGCACAAGATACATTTACATGTAACTGTACATAGTGTATTAAGGAAAGAATTATTATGATTGCTAATTTTAAAAGCCAAAAAGTAAAGACTATAATAGCCCATGGTTTTTTAAATAAAAATTGGCTCAAAGATCACCCCAAATTTTTATTATATTTTTTGATACATATTGATATACTTATGCTGTCTAGAATGTTTGAGCTGATTCTGACAAATAATTTTTGAGCTGTGGCCATTTAATTGAATTGGCCAGTTTTAAAAAAAGCAATGGCTATAGCCAATGGTTATTTCCTGAAAAATGGTTCTGAAATTGCTCTAACTTTTTATTACATTTTCTGGTACACATTGATGCTCCTATGTGATATAAAAAGTTTGAGCTATTATAGCCCATGGTTTTCTTCTGAAAATTGGTTCTGAAATTGCCCCAAATTTTTATTATATTTTCTCATACACATTGATGCCCCTATGCGATGTAGAAATTTCCAAAAAATAATTTCTAGTTATGAGCATTAATGAAAATTGTAATTGCGTAAGTGCATCAATATGCACCAGAAAATTTACTATAAATTTATTATAGAAACTGATGTGTTTTTGGCTATATAGCCCATAATCATCATCCCTTAGTATTAGCCATGGCAACAGCATGTATGGTATTTTTCTAACTGCCATCTAAAATTTACAAATATACCAATGCTACAGTTTATAAAGATGAAATTGAGAAATCTCAATGTTCATTTCATTTTTGATAGATATCAAGGTTTTTATGCTGCATGTACATGCATGTAGAATCTTGATTGTTTGAATTATTACATGTATGTACATGTACGTGCATTTTTATTATTTCTGAGCACAAGTATCAGATAAGATATGAGTTTATGGAGCCTGTCAAACCTTTGATGTGGTTTGGCAACATGTTGCTTGAAGTTGTCTCTCTAGCGCAGGTAGCAACCACATCAAAGCATTGCTAAAGTTACCTATTGGTAGAGAGCATAACAACAGCAGCCCCTTTACTTGGCTTTAGTTGTAAGATATTTATTATAAGGGAAATAACTTTTTAAGACAATGGGAATACAAAAATAATGATTGTCATATGCATGTAACCGTGATATAATGTTTCAATCATGACCCTCCCCTTAATCTTTCTATTTTCCAAAGTTCCCCACGATAAGTTACGGCTATAATGGCTGTATCTCTATCAATTGAGACCTCTTGCTGTGGTGGTCCAGGCAACTTATTGCTTGTAACTATTGTTGTGAATAAATTAAGTTATTTTATGTATTTTATATATTACTTTCTTCATCTGTAATTGGTTCTTCCTCCAGTAAAGGAGGCGTTGGAGAATAAAATGGTTTTACTGTAATGATAGCCTCTTCTTGCTAAAAATGAAAGATAACTACTGTAAGCACATTAATAAAGGATTAATAATAATTATACTATGTATAATTTTTGGGGAATTATTGTGATATTTGTATTTTTAAAGTGCTCACAACTACAAATGCTGATAAAAAAGTGAATCAATTAGGTAGTAATTAATTTATAAACCATGACACACCCATTTTTAACATTTGTGGTTTGATGTTGTTTGCCACAGTAAAGTGCTATTATGAGCTGATCCTTTTCTCTTGTACACATTTTAAGTGCCTAACGAGTATTATAAATCTTATTATGGTATTATCATTGTTGTGATTATTGAGAGGATTCTATTTTGTCTTCCCCTTATCAGACTTTCCTTATAAGTTAACAGTCTATTAAGTCAATGACTTACGTCGTCCATTCGGGTTAACGAAGTTTATTTCTGTTTGTTGTATATAAAGCCCAAACAAGTCGATGAATTAGGCGTCTTCGTCCTGCTCTTGCGTAGTACTTGTTTATGTAATTAATATTCATTATCATTCATGGTGACGTATTGATTAATATGAAGTCATGCAATGTTAACTTAATTGTGTTAATTATGTTAAGATGTATGGATGGGACGTATACAATTTGATTTTGTAATTTTCTTTTTCTATTAGTAACTGATCAATGAAGTCATTAATTATTGTAGAAATACAAGAGCTCAATCAGGCTTTTTGAGGAAACTGATGTACATCTGTGAAACGTGACTCCAGTTAGGGGAAAAATTCCAATCATACCATGGCAAGAAAAATTGCCAATCAATGTTATAATAATAATTAGATTGTACCTTTATGTCCTGCCATAGAGTTAACTCTTGACCAATGCTGTGAAAAGTGGTCGAAAGATGCTTCAATGAGCAGGGGAAACAAGAAAATTGCATACTGTTTTGCAGTTGTATAATCAAGTAAAATTTATATCAAATATAATATTAATATTATTTTATATTTGAACAATGTAAAATCAAATGATAAATAAAATTTAGATAAAGTAAGAATTAATAAAATGTTATTATATGCTTAACAGAAGAAAATGCAGAACAAGCATTCTCATGCCTGTTGTCTATTTCTAATCTTGTTAGTGTTTTATTGGTTAGAAGTGCATTCAGTATAAGCAGTACTCCATTAGAATCTAGTGAACTTCGGCTAACTGAGAGCTCAGTAAGAGTGTGATTAGTATGAATAAGGTCAGCTAATGATGTAGCACTGGCTGAAGTTATCTGTGGGTTATTGTACAGAGATAATGAAGTGAGCGTTTTGTTATACTTCAGTGATTGTGTAAGCAAAATGACTCCAATATCATCGATTGCTCCACTTAGTAAAGCTAGCCGTTTAAGAGATGTGTTGGTTGACATGTGATTAGAAGAAATTGAGTGAATTAGATCTGGTGTCAGTTGAGTATATGATATGCTAAAACGTTTTATAGTGCTCTTTTGTAACACTAGTGGCACGAGATATTGAATGGCATCAACTTTTGGCCTCTCAAGACGAAAATTTTGATGATTGTCTGTCAATTGAGATATAACCTCTTGACACTGTATGAGAGAAGGATTATTTAATTTAACTTCATCACCACTCCAGTCTACTTTTCCAGTCATATCTAAATAAAAAAGATATGTTTTATTCTAAGTGCAAGGTAACAAAAGTATCAGCAAACACTCTTAATTTATTATTTTGTGCAAAATTTATTCAAACATTAATTTTTGCCTTTTATAAATCAAAAATTGTGGACTATAATTTGGTACATATAAAGTACATGTATACCTTCATCAAAAGCCACTGCAGCATTTTTTGCTGTTTCTTTATAATCAGTTTGTTTTTCACTTAACAATTTCTGAAGCGTCTCTAATTCTCCTTCAAGAACTATAATTACATGGGTTAGTGATTGGCATGAAGGATTTCTTACAAGTGATTCTATTGTTCTTTTTTTTAATCAAAATTTTCAAATCATCAATTTCTTGTCCTTTGCGTTTACTTATTGTAGACTGTATCTCTAGCTTTGCATTCAGCTCATCTAAATGGGAAAAGTGACTTATCACATACTATAGGAACAATACACATTGTTACCAAGGGTAGCTGTGGATGAGTATAACTGTTTCTTCTCTTGCTCATGATCATTTTCTATAAAATTGCTTAACACCTATAGAATGAAGATTTTCATACCTTTTACCAGTTGTTGCTGCTTTAATTCAGATAGCATGTGCTTATCATCTTCCAAGTCTGTAATAAAATTAATTTAGTGATTTAACTGAATATTAACCTTTTTGTGGATATGTAGTAACATCTAATGCTTTAGTTGAGGCCTCGGATTCCACCTAGATAAAGAATAAAATAATAACAATAGAAGTAAAGAAATAATGTAAACCTTTTTAACAGTACTCCATACAGTACAATTTCCAACTTTAAACTCTTTTAACCCTCTTTTTTGAAGAATTTTAATCTTCTTAAAAACTGTAATTACAAACAAAATCATGTAACTACCAGGGCAATAGCAGCTGAAAAAAACAGATTGACCAGTTCCAAATTGCTCTATCAGAATATGATAGTTATTCAAAGGATCTAGATCTTCAAGAACATCTCTGATATCTTGAAGTGTTTGTGTATCAGGCTTCCAATTCAAGACAAAGGTGATAGTTTCATACATGAGATAAGGTGGGCTTGGAGTAACTTTTAAATTTTCTTCTAGACAAAGGCGAAGTGCTACTGTTTTACAAAATTCTGTAGCTAATTCTTTGTATGATCTGATAATGGTCAATGCTTCATTTACCTTAAAATGAGTCATTATTACCTCCAAGCAGTGTACATCAACAATGGTACAGTTTCTCTTGATAACTTCAAGTATGTCATTCTTTGTTTTCTTGTGCTGCAATTGTGACGTTAGGTCAGAACGAAAGTCAGCAATGAAGACCTTGACATCATTGATGTTTATCTTCTTTTTGGAAAAGATAATTCTAATTTCGTGAAAGCTTGTTGCAAATTTAACTCTTATGTCTCTAAATTCTTGCTTCATTCCACGTGGGAAAATGATTTTGTAACCATGTTTACACATTTCTTCTACAACAATCTTTCTATTAAAAATTAATAACTTATGATCATTACATACTTTCGTTATCAGAAGTGGGTCCTCCAATAGACTGTCCTTCTAAATTAATTAATTTCACAACATAATATTGTATTAAATTCCATACTTTCCATCAAAAATAAATCGATTTCCTCAACAGCATTGAAGTTGCCAAAGTGATGCACTAAAATTAATAAAATTTGTGAGTTTCAACTTTCAATAGCTTACTGTATTCTTCAAAAATTCTGTCACCAATTTGAGCAGTTTCAGGGAATTTTCGCAGCACAGTGACAAGTATTTCCAAGATTGCATAGTTCGACTGGACAACTTTTCGTAAAGCTCTAAGTAAAACAGCTCTACGGTCTGACAAAGAACCAATTTCAGATTCTACACTGCTAACAATACCATCAGAAAAGACATCTTCTTTGTGAAGTATATTAGCAATATGTGCAGGCTCTAAAATTGACTGTGAGAGAGAGCTATAGTATGTCCTTAAGATGTCAACAGCAGGATTTTTATGGCCAATTACTTCCTGACGCATCAGTTCTAGGCATTCTTCACTGGCCACTCTATGATCTGTAAATTAAAAAAAGATGACTGATAGCTATACTTGTTCTTACTGTATTCTTGTATCAATTGATGGGCTATCTCTTGTGTCTCATCAATTTCAGACAACACTGTAGCAATATCTTTAAGCTTTTTATAGTTATTTCGCACTACTCCTTGAATAGCAATCAAGAGATGGGTCTTTTTGTCATCAAAAGATCTGTTTTCTACTTCTATTTCGTCTAAAATGGCTTCGTCTATGCATCTCTTGCTATATAACATTTGAGAAACATTTACAGGAGAAATAAGAACATCATTTAACGCTTTCATATGCTGTTGCAGAATATAATATGCCTCGTCTGATGGTGTACTGCCTAAATAAAGAAAGTGAATACGTTATTAATTATAATCATTTTCAATTTTATTCAAGTGACAAAAACAAAGATGATAAATTGTAAATTAAACAAATGTAATAAATTACTACTTACAGTAGGCAGATCTATCATGGAGTTCCTTTAAATATTTTTCATAATTATTAGCCACTAAAATCTCATTAACAACCCTTTTTCTTAGACCATCCAGCAAAATTCGCCTGCTTGCAATACTTTTGGTCTTCAGCAAGTTCAGCCAGAGCTGAAACATCTGCACAGTCTTATATTCTTCACTTTCGTCAATTTCTGCGATTTCATTTAACTTCGAAGTGTCACATTCCAGTTGGACTCCCAGGAGAAACCATTTATTGGTAGTTACCTGGTCAGATAACTCCTTCAGGTCTGGTTTACGATTTAAAAACCTTTTGAAGGATTCAGCCATTAGATCTACTTTCATGCAGCACTGACTCTGAGCACGCCCCTTAAAGACTGACTCTGAGCACGCCCCTTAAAGGGGCGTGAATTATGTACTAAAGAGATTTCTATGTATCATATAATAAACAATTATTCAAGAACAAAAAATAATAATACTATGTAGCATAGTAGTAGTAATAGCTAATAATGATAATAGAAAAATGAAAGCACAAAAATTAAACCAATTGAAATTATTGAGTTTAGTCGGACCAATGATGTTGTCATTTGTATTTATTAATTCTTTCCAACCTACAATAAAGGGGTATATAATAGTATGTGAAGTCTATGTAGGTATACAGCAATTCTAATTTCAAATGCTGATTTTATTTATGATTTTAGTGGCAGACATACAGAAAAGATAAATAATTTTATTAATTAATTGAGATCACACTATACATGTACAATAGATGTAGTTGTACATAGAATTACTGACCTTGCTTCTTCTGCCTCTTGTATTTCTGATCTCTCTCTATCGGTTAACTCTTTCATTGTCTCTCTATTGTCTCTAAATAATTATAAACAGTAAGAGATGTGTAAACATAAATTAATGTACATGTACATGTACATGTATGTGCTCATTAGTACTTGTAATATATGACACATCCATCATCATATAGTCCTAATGAGTAGCTCTCTGAAGTGATTGAATGCCATTTAAACTTATTCTCAATGTCAAGACATGATATCTCAACTGGAAATGAGATTAAAACCTATATAGAGAGAGTATTATTAAAGGTTGATTCTCAATATGACGCATTGCTTTTCTTACATTTGTGTTGTGATTAGAAGGAATGATAGCATTCATCAAAATTAAATCATAATAAAAATGTTCTATTATGGCATTTTGATCTTTGCTAGAATTTATTTCTACAGCACTTTTGATTACAACACAAATAAAAGAAAGCAATGCGTCATATTGACAACTTGCCCTAATACGCTTTAATATCAATACTATTCAATAGTTACCTGTGAATAAGAGACATACTCAACAGGAATTCCACTAAACTCTGACAGCTGAAAGAACAAAAACAACAACAATAATAATAATAATAATAATAACAATAGAGAACAGGCTTTTTGCTGTGTCCATGATAATATTTGTATGGATGAGCTCCACTAGCAACAATTTTATTTCTAACCATGCACTTTTTCCAAGTTTCTACAGTGTAGCTAACACACTAATGTTGATTTAAGTAAATACAATACAATATTATACATAGTTGTGAGTGAATTGTACACAAAAATGGCAATGGTTAAATTTCACAATGTTGGCAGTGCTAGATTGAAAATAGCTTGATTTGTTGATTCAGGCATTTCAAGATTTTGACAAAATTATTTTTACAAGTTAATACATATACATAGTTGGGATATAATACATAGTAATAAAACAATATTATTTGAACAAATTGATCTAAAGGTGGGCTTACAATATTGTGCTAGGCTTGGAGTTATGTTGACACTGGTATAGAATTTGGTTCTGTTCTATCGTAAAGCATGCGTCAAAGGTCAAATCACTTCTACTTTTTTAAAATTGATGGTAGGCTGGCATAGCATTATATTATAAACATTGTCAATTGTCCTTGATCCTAACAAACTTAAACCCAGTGAGACAGCCTCATTATTAACATGTACATGTATTTTTATTTTACCTTAAAAATAAATTTAGAACTGTAATAATAATAATTAGCATCCAGTATCATTTCTTTTATTGGATCAACTGAACATTGTGATGGACGCCACCTCATAACATATACTTGTCTCTGTTCTCCATAATTCTTATTTCTTTCCTCTAATAAAATATAAGATAATATCAAATTTACTATCATATCAATGCACTTAAAATCTAATGATATACTAACCTTTCAATTGTTCGACGTATATTTCTCTACTAGCATGAATTACCCGTTGATCAAGATATACTGTACCAGGGGACATACCTATCTTTTTACGTAACCTCATTCTACACAATGAGTCACAAAATAATAGTCACATGATGTGGTTACTTGTCTAATTCAAGATCACAGTCAATTCCTTGTATCTTTAATTCTTCAATAATTTGTTTCTTAATTTTTCTCACTGGTGTATTCTTAGCAACAACAAATTTCATCAAATAATTACAAAACTAAATAATTAAGATTTGAGAATAAAATACTGTTATTCTTATACATGTACCTCTATATTGTTAACTTGTAACAAATATAATTTAATTCTGTACTCTCCTCTTTCTAATGCTCTACCCAGTCTTGTTATCAACTACTTGTAGGGTAAACAAAGAAATGAAAAAAGTAAAACAAATAATACACAAAACTACCTCCGATCCAGATTTAGTACCCATTAATGTCTTATCCCATCTCTCCATTTCATATTCTTGATACCCACTGATTCTGTACAGTTTAAAACCAGTAGCTGGTACACCAATCAGTGGAACCAGCTCCTCCTTCAATTGAGCTAATGTTATTCTCTTATCAACTTGTACCTGTATCTCTGTATTGATGAATAGAAGACAAGTATATTTAACAATATTTTACTTCTTTCTTTTCCTTTCTTTTCATCAGTTATTGAGATAATTTTTATCATCATTCTTTTTTCAGCTTCAGATACAATAGTGTCATTTCGAATTGTAGTGGGAGTTGCTTCAGGTTCAGGAGGTATTGTAATGTTCAGCAGTATACAGTAGATGTGATTCTGAATGTATCTGTACATCAAACTATTATGGAATTCTTTTCGATAATCTTCAGGATCAGACGATACATACATATTGAACTGAGAAATGTGTGTGTGTGTGTGTGTTAGTGTGCACATGCAAAAATAGGAAGTGACAAATATACAGAAAGAAATGAGCATAATACAGGTACCGTATTTCCTTAAATAAAAGCCCGGGCGTCTATTTCCTAAAATGGTATTTGGATCTCGAAAAAATATATAAAAAATAAAAAAACGTCAGCCCAGAGCAGGATTCGAACCCGTAACCTCATGCTTTTGACTTCTGGAACTTCAGGCATTATCCACTAGACTACTGAGTCACTCCTAGGCTAGTGTTGCGTATTTATAGTTTAATTTTATTGCTACCCCGGCGTTTATTCAAATGCGGCTTCTATTTAAGGATTTACGGTACATGTATAAGCTATTAATCTAATAGTTGCAAAATATTTGTTTCATTTGGTGGGTTGGCAGTTTTGTCATGGTCATGTACTGAGCATGTGCAAATGTTGGGTTTAATTATAGTGAATTGTTATAAAATAGCCAAATTTGTACATGCATCTCAGGATATAGGAATAATACAGAAAATTAATAATTTTGGAATAGTTACAAATATTTGAGGCAGCAAAAATATCAAATGAGCACAAAGCTGCATGTACCAATGCTACCTCATACAGTACATGTACCATGTATTAGAGATGGGTGATTCCAGAAATTTGCATTTGATTCCAATTCCAAATACTTTTGAGACTAGAATCGAATACCGATTCCGAGTATTACATCTGCGCATGTACAAAGACACGTGTTATTAATTACAGCAATAATAATGAATAATTGAGGTATTAACTACTGATTAATTAACTATTATTAATATTTATGGGTGTTGCTTAATTTGGAATCGTTTCAAATAATTCTTACTTCTCATTCTATACGAGTACAATTCCATTCGGAATCGAAGGATCAAATACTGTATAGCTTGAAATTTTCGTGGAATGTAAATTTCGTAGTTTTCATGGTTATGGGGCTGCCCACAAAATTTAAACCCACAAAATCATTGAAGTGCAATCCCCTTACAGGCTATGTAAACTGTCAACCATGAATTGCCCCACTAGGAGCAAACCACAAAAATATCAACCCACGAAAATTTCAAGCTATACGGTACTTCGGACTTGCCCATCACTAACATGCATATGAGTGATAAACTTTTAGCCTTTATAGTTTTTATAGCTTATATACCTTTCTGACTTGTTTGCTGAAAGTAAATGGGTATCCTTGATAAAGCATCTTCTCTAAACAACCTTCTACATCTGTAATATCCCGGACATGCATGTAGCCACTATGATATTCCTCAATTAATAATCTCAAGCATGATAAATTAATATTAAACAACTAGAGAAAGAAAGGGACTGGTTCAAGAGAGGAACAATATAAATCTTTCCTCTTACTTCTCCTATAAACTGCTTTAATTCTCCAACAGTCCAACCCCATTCACCTCTGACTGGTTTAGCTGGTTCTACTTCACCAGTTGACAGATCAACCATTGATATCTTTAGATTAATACCTATACATGTACACCATTGAATGTAGATAGTTCATCAGAGGCATTGTTATGGCACTACCTCCACAACTGTATTTCTTAAACGTTTCAGTTTCTTTACAAGTTTCTAAGAATAGCCTAAAATAATAATAAGCTCCATCCCCACCAGCAATCTCTCCAATAGTTAGATGCTGAGACTAAATTTAAGGATAAGATGATAAAACAATAGAAAAACCACTGTAGTGTAGAGAAGAATCAGTCTCGGAAGGCTTGTGATGCATTACATTAAAAAAAAACAAAGGGGCTGTGCTCACCAGCCCCCCCCCTTAAAACTGCTATAGAGTGCTTGCAGTACTTCAAAAGTGTTGTTTTGAATTTTATAAATGCATAAAAAATGGTTAAATTCTGTACTTCTATAAACTGACCACAAAACAAAAGAAGATTAAAGCTAAAAATATACAGTAGATAAAACTTACTTCATCAAGATCAAACATTACATCATTCTCAAAATCATAGTTAACTAAACGACATCTCTCAATGGGAATATGAGGACTTAATTTCATCAACTAAGAAAGAAAAAACATAAAGAGAAATAGATCAACTAAAAATAACAAACCTCATAAGCTTTATCCAGTACTGTGGGTAGTAATTCATCTTCATGAACTTTAAGTGTTGACTTCTTTAATTTACCAGTAACAGGATGTTTGCAATGCACTTTGAACTATACAATAAAAGTAGTGTAGTGAGTGTACTCACTGTCTCAGTCTCTCTTACTGCACACATTTGATACTCCACTTCATCATCGCTCAGACTATCATACTCAATCTCTTCACCCTCAGTCTCTTTCAAATCTAATTGACAATAAAATGATGACATACACATCATCAATTAAACCTTTAATATCTTTCATAATCTTCTCATTGCATTCTCTTTCAGTAATTAGTTCCATATTCATCAATGTTATCCTTTCTTGTAATTTCTCTATTATTCTTTTATTATCTACTAATGGCTGATAGTCTGGTCTTGTCATTGCTTCAAGATGAAATTTGCAGTTATCAGCTTCAAAAGCCATTCCTCTTCTCACTTTGCTAGCAGCTTTAATACATTATATAATTATAAATATAATTGAAAAAACTACTCTAACCTGAACCAGTATTACTAGAAAGTGATCTCAAATACTCAACCTTCATTTTTGATAATTTGTTTGACAATTTTTTATTTTCTTTTAGTATCTCATTAAACTGAGAGCTCAATACAGTCAACTCTTCATAAAGTGGTTCTTCCTATTAATAATTATTACAATTAATACAAACTAATGAGATATACCTCAACTTCTTTAACTGATTCAGTATCACTTTGAATAGACAATGATTCTACCTAATAATTAAAATACTTGATCAACTACATGTACATTTATTTTGGTGAATAAAAATTTGGTGAAACATACAAACTACATGCAAAATCTGCTAAATTTATGGGAAAATCCATCTACACGGTATCTTAAATAATATAGTGCAAGATTTTTTAGGGTAGCAAATTTTGCAAATTTGAGCTTTGTAAAAGTACACAGGCTGACTCCCTGCCATCTTGTACCATGCATAAATCAATTTTTGCAAATGTACTTCAAAGAATCATGAAATCCATGCAATATATAGCCCTCAAAATTTTGAACTGTATAGTAAATTGGTAATAGTGCATTAGCTAACCTCAAATACTTGAGCCATTGATATTTCTTGTGTTAAGTCAATTGTTTCCTATACATGTATCATACAAAATTGCATTGCACAGATTGGTATAACATGACATACCTTCTCTTTGCTACTGATAGCATCTTTTAGTCTATATTCAGCTTCTTCAAGTAGAATATAAGAAATAACCTGTAAAGGAACTATACTGTTACATGGTGTGTGATTCAAAAACAATTGATACATGTTTCAAGGTATAATACTGTATGCAGTGTGTACATGCATATTGCATGCAAAATGTATTTTAGTAAAGTGTTAAATTAGGTAAAACGGGATTCAATAGATAATATTTGCTATTTTGAAAACCACCAATAAACTATAGTACTTACCTCCATATGTTGTAGTGAGTCTTGATCCTTTTGTTTTAGTTCCTATGTAGTATCATAAAACAATTAATATTCATACACTGTAAAACAATATTCAACTATTTATCACATGTGCACCTTTTGTCTAACGTCTTGTCTCTTCCATAATGTTAAGTTACCAATAGTCAGTTTCTTTAATCCTTGTCCCATTAGTATATGAATATTCTCTATCATCCTCAATACAGTAAACCCAACATCAGAGAAAGGAAAAGAGCAAGTGACAGATATTGAAGTGGAGGTTTCTATATACTTGATGATCAGTAGTTTACCAGATACTTTTGACAGTATATCCTTAATATCCTTCAGTACATGTTCCTCAGGCTCCCAGTCAAAGATAAAAGTAACTGTTTCACATAGAAGATGAGGAATGGAATCAAATCTTTCTTTCAAACAAAGACTAATAGAGAGTGACTTGCAGAATTCCTTTAACTCAGTTCTATATGTCTCAATGTATTTTGTAGCTTCTGCAACTTCCATTTCATCAACTACACTATGAAGGAGTTCAATATTAGTCAGTGAACATTCGTTTTGAATAAGATGCAAGATACCAGAAAGATCAGTACATTGCTCTACTTTTCGTCTAAGAATTGAGCTGCAACAAGAAAGGAATTCCTTTATTTCATCCAAAGGAGGAGATTTTCGTTTAATAATCTTGCCAATATTATAAAACATCCTTCCATAAGACATTCTCACTGACGTAAAGCTCATTAGTAAGTCTTTAGGAACAGGAACGTGTACTTCAACTGCAAAAATAAAAATCAAATATATTTCATTGGAGAAATTTATATTTGTATTTTGTATAATACACATAGCTGCAAGAAAAATCCACCCATAGGCCTTCACCAAAAATTATTTAAAAATCACAAGCTATCTTTTACTTATTTAAACATACTGCATAGCTAGAAAATTTTGCAGCCCAAAATTTCTGCTATTTTTATAAATATGGAAAAAAGAAATTTTATTTTCAAAAATTTGTACATAAAGTAATGACCTAATTCATTTAAAAGGCATGGTGAATTCACAAAATAAAATCTGCAAGAGCCATTTTGATGGAAATTTGCAAAATTTTGGGCCGCAGAAATTTCTGGCTACATGGTATACAATAATAATTATACCTTGAGGCGATAAAGGTTGGGAAACAGAATTACTTGCATCAGAAGTAGATGTATCTATATGAATATGTGAACAAAAATGCGTTATAATTTATAATAATGAAAGAATCATACCAGATTGAGCAATTTTTGGTATCTTGGTTTCATCAGTACTTGTATCTACAGCATGTACATGTATAATAAAAGTATTATGATTATAATTACTAATTACGTGTATTACTTTGAGAAACAATAGCGTCCTTAAGAGTCTCAGAAACCATACCCACTTTAGGAGTAGGAAAATACTTACCTATAAACAAACAGTTGTCAATAGTTTTAATTAGCAACACAAGACATTAGTGGTCATACTGATATTATCATACTCACTAATATCATCCAGTATAGCTTGTCCTAGTGATACATTAGTACTTATTGTACACAATACATTAGCAAATGTATGTAAACTGTTGGTATTAGTTTGAACAGCTTCTTTGACAACAGTTAATAGAGCCTCACGTTGATTAGGAATAGAGGGACTAGCTGACACCACTCTACTAACTGCTTCTTGTGTTAACATACATTCAGCATAAAGTAACCAAGCAATACCAACAGAATCACAAAGAGACTGAGACAGGAAAGTATGACGGTTGTTAAAAATATTAATAAGAACATGATGCTCTATGATAAAAAATACAATGATTATACAAGGGGTTGTCACTTGCATATAGTCTGTTGTTTCACCTGTGACCAGATCGAAATGAAAATCAAGACATAAAGAGCTCCAAAAGATAGATATTAAGAGATCAAGACTTGCTTTTTAGATACGTATACCTTCATGTATGGCCATTTTTGCCTAATTGATATTGATAGTCTTAGTAAATTCTTTGACACCTCTATATATTCTCAGTCAAGATGCGGTTGCAGGTAAAACTGAAACAGCAATACAGCAGTTTCAATGCAAGTGACACCCTCTTGTTATAGTTATAATATACATGTAAATACAGTTATGCATGGTTGACTCACTTAGCGTCTCAGCTACAGCAGTTTCATTGATAGATCGTAGAGCATCTGACAGTGAGTCCAAGTTGGCTCCTCCTCTACTGTCAACATTATCAGCTCTACTTAACCATTGGGAGAGGCACTCAGTCATACAACGATACACATCACTATGATACTTCATTTCAATAGCATCCAGTGTATTCTTCCTTAGTCCTAGTCTCAGTCCAAGCTGATGCCATTTTGTTTCTGGGAAGCCACATCTCTTTAATAAGTCAAGAACGTCAACAAGATCATCAACTCCTGCATAAAACCGAGCAAAAGCATACGTATCAAAATGGTGGATTTGGTGAGGGATTTTGTCATCATCATCAAAGCTTAGCTTATAAGCGTACCTAAACAATTTTGACTAGTGGCCATAGTTCTATAAGTGTACCATGAGCAGTTCGATGAGCAGTCTTGGCCCCAGGCCAGAGCACTGAGCAGTCAGAAGTCGAGTCAGAAGTCAAACAACTATTGTGGGAGGGAAGAAGGGCGGGGTTTTAGACATGCCCCGTACACAAGTAACACAACCAAAAGTAATCATGCCTGAATTAGCAATATTGCCCAAAATGAACGAATCAAGCCTGATATCAGTACTGGTACAGTCCTGACAAGTATCACTGCTGATCATGCCCGATGCTCTGGCCTGAACCAGTGCAAGACCTTTTCATAATTGTGTCGCAACTGATTTCATGACTGTATCGTGACTGATTGCCCAAAATACATGATCCAGTACTGATTTCACGACTGATTCAGGCTAGTATCATCCTGATTCAGACTCCAAACTTTTGGTTGTGTAGATAGATCTATTAGAGTAATTGATTTTTTTTTGAAATACGACCAAAAGGTCACAATTTATAATAAAACACAATAGAATATAAATCAAATAGATCTAGTAGTAAGGCTAGGACACAGTGTTACTGTGGAGCATTGCTCCAAAACAGACTGGCAAGCCAGCGTAATTACAAAGAAAAAAAAACAAGAAAGAAGGAAGACTAGAACAGATTTAATAAGGAAAAGAAAGTTAATAAAAATAAATTAATTAGAATTAAAAAAAAAATAAAGTGATAAAATAAGAGTAATAGTCATATTGGTGGTGACCACTCACTATTATGTCTACTGTTGAAGATGGCATATGAACAGGAGATGGCTGGGAAACTGAGTTGGGAAATAAAACTGTTTCTTAAAAATCTTTTTGACAGATGTGGTAATACTTGTTGTATTGAATTTATTGAGCATTGAAGAAAATGACCTAAAGCTCCTATCTCAACTGTCTCCAGGTCTGTGGCATATCCACGGGAAGAGAGATCTGATACTAGGGAGATATAATTTTCCTTCCTTTGCTTCCTTTCTCTTGCATTTGTTAAGCTGGCCATATTATTACTGGGGATGGTAAGTTCCAGTAGACAAATATATCTACCATCAATGATCACAATGTCAGGTCTAGCTGTTGTGACTATAATATTTAATGGGATGGTGGCTGGAGGGGTATCTGAAGCTCTGAGATTATTAAGATCGGCAAATATTGTAACTGACTCATCTAGGTTATCCCTCAACAGATTGTATAATCTTTTAAGAACAGTATCATGTCTCCAAGTATAGCGACCTTGTAATAAACTAGTAGGGCAACAGCTCAGGATATGATTCACAGTGCATTGTGGAGCATTACAAAGACCACAAGATGAGTCAGTGCGGTATTTCCAACGACACAAGGTCATTGGGGTTGGTAAGCAGTCAATACCTGCACGAATAATGAATGATAGTTGTCCAGCTGGAAGAGCAGTAATTACTCTAGACCAAACCTTTGAGTCAGACTCTAGTGGAATTAATACAGTATTAGTAATACAGTAATTATAGATTAAACGAATTCATTTACTTTAATATCTATGTTCTAGATCTAGATTAATTATTTTGATTACTAATTTACTGCTCAGGTACTGTTTCATGGAAAATGACTGAGTTGCCTGTGTACTTCAGTAGCTACTTGTCCACCACTCCAAAGACAATTTAATTTTAGAAGCAAAGCCATGCCAAACTTCTGCAGTTGGAGAAATTCCAGCTAAAGAATGAGGTACATAAATCTACTTTGTATGTTTCTGTAATTCTGTGAGTTTAATTTTCATTGTTGGAGCTTGGAAAAGAACTAAAGTTCTAAGCATACTATGTATGTGTACAATGTACATTACTACTATTGGCTTATTTACAATGTAACATTCAAATTTTATTTAAAAAGTGTAGTTGATTTGACCATTTGATGCATCAATAATGATAGAGTTTAATCAAATTTAGGTGTAGCATCATAATAAACACGTTTAGTTCATAAGTTGTTGAATTGCATTTTGAATTTACAGTTTTATTTCATAAGTTGACAGAAAACCAAAAGAGCCATTTTCGTTCATCTTTCCATCAGATGATGCATTCACCAATGAAGAGAAACTGATGGTAATAATACGTGGAAGTGGAGTAATGAGAGCTGGTCAATGGTCTTGAAGGTATGATATTACTATTAGGCAGTTGTATATCAGCTCAAAGTTGGTATACAACATAAGTTCAAAGTATATCAAGTGGTAAAAACTACTTTTCATTTTTGGCATGTAGCATACCAGACTATAGTATTCTGTTTTGGCCCGATTTTTAGCAACTTTTAAAATTTGTAAAAAATCAAATTTTGATTTAAATCAGCTCAAACTTTCTATGCAAGATGTCTAAGAACATGTATATGCATCAGAAAAAATATAGAAATTAAAAATTTTCCACTTTTCATTTTTTGACAAATTTTAGCTGAAATCCCGCACTAGTCTGGTCATGCCGTGACCAGATTATCACTGTACTGTTTTTGAACCAAAGCCTCATGTATAACTCACGCTGTCTTGATTTGACATTTAAAGGCACAACATGCATTTACATGTAACTAGTTGTACATAGTGCATAAAGGAAAGAATTATTACGATTGCTAATTTAAAAAGCTAAAAAAGTAAAGGCTATATAATAGCCCATGGTAATTGGCTCAAAGATCATCCCAAATTTTTATTATATTTTTGAATATATATTGATGTACTGATGTTGTATGTATAGAATGTTTGAGCTAATTCTAACAAATAATTTTTGAGCTATGGCCATTTAATTGAATTGGTCACTTTAAAAAAAGCAATGGCTATAGCCGATGGTTTTTCTGAACAATGGTTCCAAAGTTTCTCCAAATTTTTATTACATTTTCTGGTACACATTGATGCTCTTATGTGATATAGAAAAGTTTGAGCTATTATAGCCCATGGTTTTCTTTGAAAATTGGTTCCAAAATTTCAACAAATTTTTATTATATTTTCTGATGCACATTGATGCTCCTACGTGATGTAGAAATTTTCAACAAATAATTTCTAGCTATGAGCATTAATAAAAATTGTAATTGCATAAGTGCATCAATATGCATCAGAAAATGTACTAGAAATTGATGTGTTTTTGGCTATATAGCCCATAATTATCATTCCTTAGTATTAGCCATGGAAATAACATGTATGGTATTTTTCTAACTGCCATCTAAAATTTACAAATATACCAATGCTATAGTTTATGAAGATGAAATCAAGAAATCTCAATGTTCATTTCATTTTTGATAAATATCAAGGTTTATGCTACATGTACATGCATATTACACAAGCAATGATTGTCAGTATTCATTGATAACAGATTTGAGACATAATGATATATAACTAGTCAATTGCATTTGTGTACATGTACTTGTGCTTTACTCAATAAGTGAGTCAGTGACATAGATCTGTCACCTGTGACAATTGCCATTATGATTAGGAAGTAATCCATTAAGTCAATATATATACATTACATATGTATTACATACCATTACGATTGCGTCAGCCAATCAAACACAGCAATTTAATTTGTGTCCATGATCCATCTTGACCCATCCTAATAAATACATAAATGAATACCGTACAGCCTCAAACTTTCGTCGGTGAAAACATTTGTCAATTTCGTCAATTGACAAAAAATGACGAATAATTTTACCGATGAATAATAATAATTATTATAGTTTATACTACATGTTCATATATTGACCTGCATGTTTCAGTGTCACTCAGTGGGCGTGGCTGAGATTAATTTTGTCAATAAATCTGATTGTGACGAATGTTTTGTTTTTGCTACTTATAACCATTATGACAAAAGTTTTGCTGACAAAAGTTTGAGGCTGTATGGTAATTGAATGCACATGGAACAAGGTCTTACTGCTTCTTGATTCTGAAAATAAGAGTAGTTCACTGTATTAAGAGAGCGAGAGAGAGAGATAGTAATTTTAATTATACAGCGATGTTGATGTTACACTTACTTGTTCAAATTGGATATTTTTTTATCACTAATTATTGGCAAGTACTTTCCATTCTCCTGTACAATAAATGACACAATGAATTACTGACCAAAAATACATGTCCTACTCTCTGTACATGTACAAGTGTGTACATAAATGTAATGTACTATAGTGTGCATTGTGTCTTACTATTCATTTTTTGCCAGATATTGCAGCAAGTGCATTTGATGGAACCTCGACAGACGATGCAGTTATGCTTCTGTGACCCAACACTGTACTATAATAATATATAATAATAACAATGTTGATGTATACACTTGTTTACTTGCGCTAACACAAGAAAGAGAGAAGAAATGTGAGAGGTACACCTAGAAAAGAAAAGAGAAAGAGCAAAAGTTATAGACATACAGTATGCATACAAATTCATGAGGAGGAGAGAAAGGCAAAAGAGAGAAAGTCACATCAAGAGACAAAGATATACAAAAAAGGTGTCAAGGAACACAAAAATGAGAACATGATTAGCAATAGATACATGTAATGGGAAATGAAATAATTGTGTGCTATAAACCTATAGAAACATTACAACATGCATTATGCAGCTTTAATAAATATTACAATACCATGTAGCAAGATCACATGATTAATGACTGTGGAACTTCAATGCATAAGTTATGAGGAATTGTCAAAATCAAGCCTGAGACCATACATGCAGCACTCTGGGAATAACTGTTATAATGGAGATTACAAAAGCAAGCAGTTACACTATTGATGATTTAATTTATAAAACTTTCAACAAAGCATTATATCCAGTGTAATTTTTATTTACCAGAAGTTTTACTATTCAATAAACATTGATAAGGCCTAAATGTTTTTTAATGCTACAAATTCACCCTATACAGGTATATAGTATAGGTAGGTAAAGCAAGATTATAGACAAAACTACATCAGATAGAATCACACTGTATCAGACTCATAACACGATTATTGTACAATGACAGCACAGTAGACCTGTATTACAATTTCCAGTCCTGGTGGTCCCAAAGTAATTCTAAAATGAGGACAAGTAGTGTGGTACCAATAGTATCAGTCTTCAATGCTCAAAGTACACAAAACTTTACATGTATTATGTAGCCTGGATTAGGTGTATTATAGGTCAGTCATACTATACAAGGAATAAATTAAACAAAAACATTAAATTGAGTATTGCATCATCATTACCATTCAATAATACTAGAAAAATGCAAAATACTAAGGGCCCAGTCCATTCAAATAGATGAACAGCAGAACTACAGCTAGCTCTATAACCGTCATGTTTGCAAATATACACATACATTTATCATTGACTTACTATGTATTACAATAAAAATATCATCTGAATGATGACAAAGCATGATGTGGTACAACTTTGCTCATGCATAGCATAATTCAGGCTCAGTTATTAGTTACACAATACACATGTAGGTACCTCTTACACAAACTAGGTGCTAGGCTACAGTAAATTTAATCATTAGAGGTGAAGACTGAAGTTTTCAACATCATCTTTATTGCAACCTTCATCATTGCTCTGATGCATAGTGGCATACAGTACTAAATGTCTCCTTTCTAGCAGCCATTCTTATAATATAAGAATGACTGCTAGAAAAGAATGGCCACTATGCATCGGAGCAATGATGAAGGTTGCAATAAAGATGATGTGGACATACAAATTAATATAATATACAAACATCGCACATGGGTGAAATCAATTATAGGAATGACCTGGGGGCGTAGCCCCACAGGGCCCAGCTCGTTAAAAACTTCAATGCATCCAGTTAAAAGACTAATAAACATAATACCATTTTCTTTTTTAATACAGTTAAATGTTCTTGAGTTGTAACTAGTCTCAGATTTCTTCACCTATCATGCACATTTTAAAGATAACTAGGAGTCTGCATGCACTTTGCAAACAAGCAATAAGAGTAAGAATAAGATTTGAACTTATTTCAAAAATGAAATATCTTTGTCTTTACTAGAAAAGTGTGGTTTACCTAGCTATCTGAGACAGAGCAAAAGCTTTTGCTAACTGTGCCTGACTATACATGAGATATCCTGTTTATTAGTTTTTTTAACTAGATGCATTTAAGTTTTTGAGTCAATTGCAGGTGTTAATAGTGAGATAATTGAAAATCTCACAAGCATATGTAATATGTGATGTGAGATTGGAATTCCACAAGTGGCAAGGTTTCATATATGATATATGTATTTGGCCCATATTTGCTCAAAATATTGTAAATTATAGCAAAATTTTAATAGATTTTTTTTGTAATATAACTCAGCTCACATGATAGACCACGTTGGCCTTAAGTTTGCGAGATGTAAGAGAAACATTTATGAAGAGTATTGACTCTCATAAACCACAATAACAATGATTTGAACATGATTAACAAAGCTTCTAAACAATAAGATAACACTACATAATATAAACAGGTATGCCAATAATAATCAAAATAATAATATGAAGAGACCAATAGCAAAAGAACAATTAGAGTTAGCTTTCTAGATAATTCTCATGAACAACATAGTAGTAATAATAATAATAGTAGTACTAGTATTAGTCCAATGACAAACAGTCAGGAACACCATTAGACCAAGAAAATTGTCATACAGCTACGAACTGCCCCCAGGTCATCACTAGAGGGGACCTCTATGTATTAATAAAAGAAATAGTGAATGTGATTTACTCTAAGGGAGGGTAAGTAAATTTGGGTGGGTTGTCATATATGAAACCTTGCCACTTGTGGAATTCCAATCTCACATCACATATCACATATGCTTGTGAGATTTTCAATTCCACATCATGGCAAGGTTTCATATATGATATATGTATTTTGTTTAAAGAACACATTCACCCACCTGATGAAAGCAAAATGTCTCCAACCTGAGGAGATAAGATAGGTTTGTAGTAAAACCGTTCAAAGGTGGAGGATCTAGACCATCCAGCTGCTTTCATTATATCAATAAGAGGTACTCCTACCTTCTTGGCTGCTGAACTGGAGGCAGCTCTTGTGGAATGAGCACCAAAAATAGAGGTGTTAACACCAGCATCAGTCAAAAGAGATTTTATCCACCGACCAATAGTACTGATTATGAGGCTTCTTAAGAGACAAGAAGAGTTGAGATGACTTTTCCATAGTGGTATCACCTCGGAATGGTTGAGTGACCTTCTCATATGCTTCAAGAGTCACTATTGGACAGAGAGCTTCAGTCCTTGGTAGCCTCTTAACCGTGGAGGACCTGACCTCCTAGTCTTTGACAGACCTGCTGTTTGAAACTCCACATAATCCACATTATGCTTCAGGTCTAATAAATGCAGATCTGAAGATCTTGAGGCTGAGGCCAAGGCCAACAACA